TTTGAAATATTATTCATATGATACACACTATTGAATGCCTTTGCATAGTCAGTAAAACACAGATAAACATCTTTCTGGTATTCTCTGCTTTCAGCAAAGATCCATCTGATATCAGCAATGATATCCCTTGTTCCACATCCTTTTCTAAATTCGGCCTGAATTTCTACAAGTTCCTTGTCGATGTACTGCTGCAACCATTTTTGAACGATCTTCAGCAAAATTTTGCTTGAGTATAATACTAATGATATTGTTTGATAATTTATTCATTCTGTTGGATCAACTTACTTTGGATTGGGCACAACATGGATCTCTTCCAGTCAGTTGGCTGGGTAGCTGTCTTCCAAATTTCTTGACAGGGACAAGTGGGCACGTCCAGCATTGCACTGGTTCATTGAAACATCTCAATTGGTGATCATGTCAATTCCTGGAGCTTTGTTTTTTGCCAATGCCTTCAGTGCAGCTTGCACTTCTTCCTTCAATACCATCAGTTCTTGATCATATGCTACCTCCTGAAATGGTTAAATGTCGACCAATTCTTTTGGCACAGTGACTCTATCTATTCCTTCCATCTTCTTTTAAAACTTCATGCCTCATTCAATATTTTGCACATAGAATCCTTCAGTATTGCAACTTGAGGCTTGAATTTTTTCGTCAGCTCTTTCAGCTTTAGAAATGGTTAACATGTTCTTCCCTTTTGGTTTTCTAACTCCACGTCTTTACACATTTCATGATAATACTTTACTTTGTCTTCTTGAATCACCCTTTGAAATCTTCTGTTCAGCTCTTTTACTTCACTTTGTCCACTCACTTTAGCTACTCTATGTTCAAGAACAAGTTTCAGAGTCTCTTCTGACATCCATTTTGGTCTTTTCTTTCTTTCCTGTTCCTCTAATGATCTTTTTCTTTCTTTATGCATGATAGCCTTGATGGCATCCCACAACTCATCTGGTCTTTGGTCATTAGTGTTCAATGTGTCAAATTTATTCTTCAGATGGTCTCTAAACTCAGGTGGGATATACTCAAGGTCGTAATTTGGCTCTTATGGACTTGTTTTAATTTTCTTTAGCTTCAATTTGAACTTGCATATGAACAATTGGTGGTCTGTTCCACAGTCAGCCCCTGGCCATGTTCTAACTGATGATATTGAGCTTCTCCATCATCTCTTTCCACAGATGTAGTTAATTTGATTCCTGCGTATTCCATCCGGTGAGGTCCACATGTATAGTAACTGTTTATGTTGTTGAAAAAAGATATTTCCAATGACTAAGTTGTTGGTCTGCCAAAATTCTATTATTGTTTCAATCACCCTAGCCATATTTTCCAATTACTGATCCCTCTTCTTTATTTCTGACTTTTGCATTCCAATCATCAGTAATTATCAGTGTATCTTGATCGCATGTTTAATTAATTTCAGACTGCAAAAGTTGGTAAAATTTCAATTCCTTCATCTTTGACATTAGTGGTTGGTGCATATATTTGAATAATAGTCGTATTAACTGGTCTTCCTTGTAAGCGTATGGGTATTATCCTATCACTGACAGTGTTGTACTTCAGGATAGATCTTGAAATATTCTTTTTGACAATGAATGCAATGCCACTTCTATTCAATCTGTCATTTCCAGCATAGTAGACCATATGATTATCTGTTTCAAAATGGCCAACACTAGTCCATTTCAGCTCACTAATGCCAAGGATATCAATCTTTATGTATTTCGTTTCATTTTTGACAACATCCGGTTTTCCTAGATTCATACTTCGTACATTCCACATTCCAATTATTAATGAATGTTTGCAGCTGTTTCTTCTCATTTTGAGCCATGCCACATCAGAAAATGAAGGTCCCAAAAGCTTTATTTCATCCATGTCATTAAGGTTGACTCTACTTTGAGGAGGCACTCTTCCCCAGTTGTATTTTGAATGTCTTCCAACTTGAGGACCTCATCTTTTGGCACTACGTCAGACAGTTTTCCACTACTATCCATAAGGTTTCCACTGGTCAATTTTTTTAGAAGTAGATTGCCAGGTCCTTCTTCCGAGTCTCTCTTAGTCTGGAAGATCCACTGAAACCTTTCCACCAAGGGTGACCGTGCTGGTATTTGAATACCAGTGGCATAGCTTCCAGCATCACAGCAATACACAAGCCACCACAGTATGACGAATTGACAGACAAATGGGGAAGGACCTATGCAAATATGGCACTTACTTGGGAACTGGAAGTCTGAGCCAAACCGAGGGTGGGAGTGCTGCCAGGACTGGAAGCCAAGGGCTTGGGTAGTGTGGATCAGGGCAGATGAAACAAATAAATTGAATTAAAAGATTTGAAACCCACAGTCAGAGCCTAAAGATGTGAAAAATAATTTCAGTGTACTAGAGGAAAAGCATTTAGGGGAAGATGGGAGTGTGGGGCCTCTGAAGGGGCAGGTAATGCAACATGTGTCCCCATAGCTCATCTGAACATGGAGAGCTGGTCAGTATCCAACTCAAAATATCTATAAGAAGGGTGAACCTATCATTTCAGAAGTGGATCCCCTCCCTCCAAGTAATCCCCTTATAGTAGCCATCCAGCTCCAAGCCTATGAATCATGGCCAGGATCCACTCACTTGGATTGTTCTGGAAATAGAGATCAATGTGATTTTTTTTCCTCTTTTAAGTAAAACAGGAGTTTTCTTATATAAATAAAAAACACAAAAACACTCACATAGCCACTTGCCTGCAAATACAAACATGTTTATCCAAGAGACACACATATTTATACAATCTACAGCTGGACTTTGCTGTGTAAATCATTCCATTCAACTGAGGTGGTCCCAAGAGAGACCTAGCAGTACCACCCAGGTGGCTGGCTCCTCCCACACCTCCCTTGTTGAGGGTGAAAAATATGTTAGCCTGCTCCCTTGCTTCTCACACTGGCCTATCTCAACCTACAACCTCCTGGTGGTTGAAGTTGAGAAACTCCACCCCTGGCTCCAACCCTTGACTCCTCCTCCCCACCCTAAAAACTCAGAGAAGAGCCAGTTCAGCACTTTCCCAGGGGAGGGGTGCAGTGGTGGGAAGAAGTCAAAGCCTAACTGGCTGCAGAGACTTCCTGTTCTGACACACGCAGAGGTGAGCTCTCAGACAAGAGGAAGATTAGGGCTGGGCTGGTGAAGAACAGAGCCATCAGCCCAGGGAGAGGCTGCTCCTGGCAGAGTGCCCTGAGATTAACCGTTTGCTGCTCTGCCTCTGCTTCTCAGAGGCTATAGATGAGGGGAGGGCATTGGCGGTTCAGTGGTAGAATTCTCGCCTTCCACGTACGAGACACGGGTTTGATTCCCCGCCAGTGCACCTCATGCACAGCCACCACCCATCTGTCAGTGGAAGCCTGCATGTTGCTATGATGCTGAACAGATTTCAGCAGAATTTCCAGACTAAGACAGACTAGGAAGAAAAGCCTGGTGACCTACTTCCAAAAATCAACCAGTGAAAATCCTATGGATCACAACAGTCCAATCTGCAACCAATCATGGAGACGGCACAGGACAGGGGAGCATTTCATTCCATGTGCACAGGGTCACCTTGAGTTGGGCCAACTCGATGACAGCTAATAATAACCACAGTAATGGATGGGGAGCTATGCAGTCTTTCTCTGGAAAAGAGAGATTATGCTGCCTGGAGCATTTTGGGATTGGTCCCGTATAGAAACAGAGTGACATCCAAAGCTGTACCCAGACCCCACCTCTGACTGTCCTTTCACCATTCTGCATTTCACCAACCAGGACCTTCAGAACTGGCCTCAATCAGGCAACTTCACCCTCCACTGCTCCAGAAGGCCTGCCTCACCTCCCTCCCCATCGCCCATGCTTCCACCACTCAGGAATAGCAACATAAACACTAGCTCAGAAGACGGAAAGGGGAGCAAGCAGGAACGCTCCATGACAACCACATGTTTTCACTCCTCGTCCAACAAGAATGACCTTACTGATTCCTACAACAGCTTCCGGAAAGCCGTATTTGCCCAGTGGGATTTAGCCCCATGCATGGAGTTGAATGAAAATAGGGAGGCCTTGCTAAACACTGAGAATAAACATTCTCCACACTACCTCTTGTTCTACGGTCAATGGAGCCCCCTTGACTGCTTTCTCCTCATACCTGTCAAACAACCCCACACCTCCAGACTTAGACTCCTTCCTTTGAGGTTAATCCTAGGCTCAGCATCGTGCTTGGGATGGCCCAGAATTGCCCTACAATGGGCATTCTTTGTATAATTGTTGGTTGCCTCTTGAGCTTGTACAACTGCTCTGTAGGCAGCCCTTGGGCTCCAAACTCTGCTCATCTCCCTCAGTGATCCGGGTACCTTGGAAGTAGAGGCTGAGAAATTAGCTGATGAATTTACTCTGTATAGACAGATCCTTCTGGCCCCAGCATCCACTTTCACCTGAATTATCTGGATACACAGGATTCCGGACGCTTTTCCTCAGGAAACAAAGACAATTGCTCAGAATGAATGACAAAAGCATTTTATTGAAGATTCACCAGAAGATGGATAGAGGGAATGAGAAGAGTTCAATGGGACACTGAGTGGTTCTTCTCCTGATCCTGCAGGGCCAGTTTATGCCAGATGATGAAGAATGAGTTTGGTCCTGATGCAGAGGGATATCCAGGATCTTGTGGGAGACAGCACTGGGCTGGAAGGGGATATGTGTAACCCTTGTAATTTGGAGATGAAGCTCCTGGTTATTTTTCTCCTCTGTCCATAGGAGGTGACAGGTCAGCTAACACTACTCTCACTCCAGGTGGGCCACCGGGTGCAAACTGAGAAGAAGCCTCAAAACTTCAAGAGGGCAGAGCCCAAGCCCCAGCAGAGAAGATCATCCAGGAACAGAGAGCTCCCAGGGGACAGTGGAGGTGACACTGGTCAGACGAGCCTTAGAGAGGGAGAGTGAAGGCAGGGTGAAGGAAGCATACAGACACCAGGACTGGGACCAGCTGGGCTCAGAGGAGTGTAGGGACCACATCTCCTCTATCGGTGGGATCTCTTGGTCAGGGTGGTAGTAGAGATGATCTTGCTGCCGGAAGTGTCACAGACTCCACTACCAAATCCAAAGCCACTTCCGGAGCCAGAGCCAAAGCCACCGCCCAGGCCAAACCCTCGGCCGATGCCGCCAGCACTGGCACCACCGCCGACCACAGCTGCAGAGAGAGGCAAAAAACACACGTTATTCCAATAGTGCTGACAACTAGGAGACCCAGCCCAAACCAAGGTAAGCAAATGGCCATGACAGGGGCAGAAGTACTTACAGATGCTCACAGCACTCTGGCATTCTCCAGAAATTCTGTGGGTGGAGAGAGAGAGAGCAGTGAGTCACAGCAGGACCCAGAGCCACACTCCACTCCATATGCACATCTCAAGCACTTTCTACATGTGTTACAATGTTTACAAGGTTTCTGATTTCCATCAGCCACCCCTTCTCATTTCCTGTCAGAAAGTCTTATCCCATCCTTGAATAGCCAAATTTTAAGGCCTGAGTGTGAACACGTTATACTGTCTTGGTTCATAATGTACCAGCAAGGCACTGAAGCAAGGGCCCAGAATAGGTCCAAACTCATGGCCCTAGACCCCTGCAAATTTTCATGTTGCCCCCTGTCCTACCACCCTCACCTGCACTCTTCACCCTCCAGCAGCTTGCGGTAGGTGGCAATCTCAATGTCCAGGGCCAGCTTCACGCTCATGAGCTCCTGGTACTCGCGCAGGATCCGGGCCAGCTCCTCCTTGGCCTTCCGCAGAGCAGCCTCCAGCTCTGCCTGCTTGCTATAGGCATTTTTAAGGGCCAACTCCCCACGCTGCTCTGCATCAGCCACAGATGCCTGTAGAGTCTGGCACTATAGACAAGGGAATTGGACAGGCAATCATCAGTGTCCTGCTTCCAAGGCCTCTACACCTGTCTCCTCTCCCTGGGCCAACTTTTTTTGGGTTAAGATATCAAGAGTCTGTGCTGTCCGCATCTTCCTTGACTCTTATGCATTTAATCCACTCTAGCTAGAGCCCACCAGTGGCCCCACCAGACTGATTAGATGAAGATGAGCAAAAACCAATGAAAAACAGCCAAGAAACCTTACGTACTGGGGTGTCATGTCCTGTTATCTGGGATATTGCTGAAAGGATCTGAGTACAGCTTATGTAAAAAGCTACAGATCCTCTCAAGGTCAGGGTCTTATGGCCTGGTATATTATCTGTTTTTCTACTATGGAGACATCTGCTTTAGGCCCCTGGCCCTGTACTTTGGTTGGAAGGGGGCAACACTTACCTGCTTCTTGACGTTCTCAATCTCTGCCCGAAGCCTCTGGATCATCCGGTTGAGCTCTGCTATCTCATTCTTGGTGTTTTTCAGGCTGTCACCATGTTGGTCAACTGAAATCTGGAGCTGCTGTACCTATACCCAGGGAGACACAGGAGACTAGGGGTAAGGGGTGTTTGGGTAGAGTCCATTCTTAAGTCAGTGGACACAGAGAGAATGGCCACAGCTGGCAAGGATAATACAAAATATCAAGTAGTCCCAAATCAGGCCAGGATCAGTGATACCTGAAAGAATCAGTTCATCCCTGACTTTTCTTCTCTTGGGCTCAAGCTGATAATTGTATACTCACAGACATCAAAAGCAGAGCCCTGAAAACCATTCTCACCTCCTGAGAGACCCCCAGCACCCACCTTGGTCTGGTACAGGGCCTCAGCCTCCGCCTTGCTCTTCTGGGCAATCTCTTCATATTGGGCACGGACCTCAGCGATGATGCTGTCCAGGTCCAGACTGCGGTTGTTGTCCATGGACAGCACCACAGACGTGTCGCTGACCTGAGTCTGCACCTGGGACAGCTCCTGCAAGGTAAATGTCTCACATCAGCCCCCCAGGAGAGTCTTCCCTAACTTCTGACCCCAGAAATCTGCTGTTGTCATGAAAATGGCCATGCCACAGGCTCAGATGGGAGCAGAGTTGGCATTTCCAGTGCATGTGGGCAAAGAGGGTAAAGGCCTATGTAGGAATCAAGTGGTTGGTGACATATCAGGACAGAAAATCAATTCCTCTAGTCTTTGCCGCTCCCTGGAAACCATAAGACACTCCATGTCTAATACAGTGGGTTTTCAGTATGTTGGATGGAAAGGAATGGAATGGACCCGTTTCACCCAAGGAATGCTAGGCAGCAATGAATTCTACCCCTAAGCAATCTTTAGATCTAATCACTTCTTCTAAGACAACTTCTGGCTCTGAGAACCTCCCAGTTGAATCTTTCACTTTAACCCTTTCTATCCATGACCTTGCTGAGAACCCACTGCCCTGAAGTAAGGGAGGTGGAGTCCTTTCAAAGAACTGTGAATTTCACCCACCAGCCTCCAAGGTAGAGGATTCCCTTTCCCTGAATGGAGGGGGGTAGGATGGAGTCCTCACCGCGTCATACAAGGCCCTCAGGAAATTGATCTCATCATTAAGGGCCACCACCTTGGCCTCCAGCTCCACCTTGTTCATGTAGGCAGCATCCACGTCCTGCAGAGGAGGAGGGGGATCAGAGATAAGGTGCAGGAATTACAATGGAGGCAGGATGTTAAGTGATATCTAAAGGTGTTCTTAGCAGCACCAGGTGAGGTGGTGAGGGACCAACCATTTGATATATTCTACGCTTAAATCCATGTGCCTACATAGAAGTTAATTATCCTTTGTCTGCATTGACCTGGATAGCACCAGATGGGATGGAGATGAGATAGAGACAGACCAAACCCACAATTCAAGCCAAAGACCACTACCAAAGGGAGGAGGTACCCTGAAAGCACTTTCCTATGCCCCTTCTCTCTTACCTTCTTGAGGACAACAAAGTCGTTCTCAGCAGCTGTGCGTTTGTTAATCTCATCTTCATACCTGCAAGTAGGGACAAGAAGAAAAAGAAAAGCCCCACAGTGAACTAGTGTTTCCCAGATCTTTGCTGCTTGTTTTCAAACATCGAGCTATTTGGAAACATCCAGCTAATTGGCTACCATTTCTCATGTTCATTTAGATATTCATTCGACCTACATTTATTGAGTAATTATTATGTACAAGGTGACAGCTTAGACCTGGTTTATGCAGAGACATGAAAACCAAACTTTAAAGAGACTATTTTCAAGAGGTAAGATGTGAGAAGAAGAACCAATAGTGATCTCACTGATTTTATTTCCATAGAAGGGTTATTGTTTCCTCCATTTGGTGGATTAAATTCTCAGAACTGTTGCTAACACTCCAGTCCTTTCACTTAGTGTGAGAGCAAATTGAGAGAGAGGGTTGGTATTTTCTCAGCCCCATGCCGCAGTGAGCATAATAAGAGCTACTATGTATTGACTGTTCACTATATGCCCAGCACTATGCTATGTGCTTTCTCTATCTCATTAATTTCACAACCGTATAAAGTAGGATATTATCTCCATTTAAAGATGAAGAAAACTGAGGCTCATAGAAGTTAAGCAACTACTAGTAAGATCACACAGCTAGTAAGTAGAGGAGTATTCAAACCAGATCTACCTGTCTGTACAATCTGTATTCTTCTGACCTTGCTATACTACTTTTCATCTGATTGATTTCTGAACTTGTTTTTATATGGCAAACCCAGCTCCCTGAATCTATAACTAATTTTCTGTTTGGGGCAACTTATGGATACTAGACATCACCCCAATGAAGTGTGACTATGTGGATGCAGGGAAATAGACTAGATGAACTTCCTGAGCTCTTTGAGATCTCTTCAAAGTCTGGGATTCTAAACCACTGGGGAGCAGCCTAGGGAGCCTGGGGCATGGCCAGGCAATTTGTGTGTTTAATGTCATCCCTTCCCTCCTCTTCACGTACTTGGTCTTAAAGTCCTCCACGCTGTTCTGCATGGCCTTCAGTTCAGACTGAAGGCGCCCTTTGTCATTGATCAAGCCATCCAGCTGCTTCCTCAGGACACTAAGGTAGCTCTCGAAGAAGGGCTCAAGGTTTTTGCTGGATGTGGTGGTTGTCTGCTGCTGGAGCAGTTTCCATTTGGTCTCCAGGACCTTGTTCTGTTGCTCTAAGAACCGCACCTATGTTGAAAAAGACACCAGCCAACTGATAAGGACCTGAAGCTTTGGCAGAAGGGCCCGTTAAGGCCAACACTAACAAGCCAACCAGGCAGCCCAAGAGCTACCTGAGTAGAACCACCATGTTGCAACTCTAGGCCACCATTCTCTAGGGTCAACATGGTGGCCCCATTCCTAAGCCCACAGCAGCAAATGGGCCATGTGGGCTATGGAGAACAGAGCACAAACAGAACACCAAAGCTTGACAGTGCAGCGAGAACAGCTTCCTAACCACAGGGATCCAAAGGCCATGGGAGGGGTTGCTTGAGAAAACATTGAACTTCTACGAAATAATGAAATAATAAAATAAAATTAGGAGAAACAACCACAAACTGGGGCCTATTGAATTCAAGGTGATCCTGACCTAAAGCAAATGAAAGATAAAATCATTAAAGATATTATTTAAATAAGCTTACTTATAAATGAACCTAATATGTCCCTGTGAACCTGCACACAACGGAGTATAGCTATTTAGGATCAAGGCCCTAGACATAATTGAGTCTCAGTTCAGTTCAAGGGGACTTCCCTGAACATTCCCTCCCTCTATAGAAATGTAAGTTAAGGTCTTGGCTTAGCATGACATTTCCACTTTATGTGCTTCAGAACTGAAAAGAAAGCAGGTGAGGGTGACTGATTACAGTTTAAACCCAAAGGGAGAATGAGCTGAAATGAGATAAGGAAGCACCAAACCCTTAGTCTTGTTTTCATACCTGTAGGCACTAGAGTCACCATAAAGCCTCTTTAAGCTACTAGAGGTTCATTCAACCTTGCAAGAAGAGCAAACATGCCCACTCAGTCTACTCCAGGACTGTTTGTTCTTGCCCCATACATTTAAGAGGACCGAGACATTGATGCATGGAGAACAGGGACAGCCTTAACCACAAGTGCCTCACTCACCCATCTAGTCACTGATTTTTGGGTGACTCAGCCCTCTGGGGTTGATCTGCTCACTATATTCCATCATACTTGACTGTAATTGAGCTTAAAGGACTCTAATTTCTAGATTTATCATGCAGAAGGAAGTAAGACTACAAAAAGAAAGGAGGCCCATCCCTTTCTTTCTTTGAATAGACTCAGAAGAGAGAAATTTTTCCCAGAGGCAGGGGGATGAAAGGGATGACCTTGCAGGGTCCTGAAGAGACCTGGATCCACCACTGGAGTCATGGACTCCTTTAATGGTCAGGGTGCATCCCTGGCCTCCCTGTCTGCCTCATTGGAATCCCTCTCATATGGAAAATCAGCCTGGTTTTCTTCCACTCCGAGAACAGAAAAGCCAAGCATTTAGTTATTAGTGAAGTTGACTGAGTTATTCCCAAAACCAAAATCTGAGAAAAAGCAGAGATCTAACAATCCTGCTTTATAGCTGGGATGACTAGAGTAAGATAAGCTGATGTGCCTAGTAGTCTGCAGCATATCCAGAAAACTCCAAATATTTGACTACTTTGAGCAACTTATCTTCTCACGAGTCATGGGACGAAAGAAAAGACTCAGAGTAATGATTCCTCTTTTACAGCTGGAATACTGAGGTCCAGAGAAGTTCAGAGTTTTCCCAATGCCCTTGACAGGCTCAGGTCTGAGGTCCCAGGGCTCTGGAACACTAGCTTCTACCAACCCTTCACTGCCAAGCATTCAGCTCACCTTGTCAATGAAGGAGGCAAACTTGTTGTTAAGGGTCTTGATCTGCTCCCGCTCCTCGGTCCGAACCTTCTGGATCTCAGGATCAATCTCCACATGGAGTGGGGTCAGCAGGCTCTGGTTGATAGTGACCTCCTGAATCCCCCCAGCGGGGCAGATGGGAAAGCCAGGACCACCTCGACCACTGAAGGAGCCCCCAAATCCACCGCCAAAGCTGCCAGCGCCGAAACCAGCACCAAAGCTCCCAGCTCCGAAACCTCCAGCACCCCCAAAGCTGGCACCTTGCCGGCAGCCAGCCACACTGATGGAGGTGCTCTTGTTCCCCCCGAGGTTGTAGAGGCTCCTGCTGCCGAAGCCACCAGAAGAGCAGCGACCCGCACCCCCAGACAAAGAGACGGAGCTGAAGGCAGCCCTCCTGCCCCCACCCACAACAGCCGAGCCACAGCTAAAGCCTCGGGACCCGCCTTGGATGTACTGCTGTCTGGAGATCATGGCTGGAGAGAAGCGAGCGAGCTCGGAGGTATGGGAGAGAAGTGAGAGGGCCAGGCCAGTGAATGCTGTAGCCCTCAGCCTGGGTCTCTTATACGTGCTGGAGCAGAAGGGCTTGGTTACAGGGGCATAAACGGAAACATGTGAAACATCTCTGGGCTGGGCCTTTGGCACTGGCCCATCCTTCTTGCACCTGCTGAGCATGTCACTAAACACACCTACAGATGTCATTCAGAGGGCACAGGTTACTGGATCCCATCACACTCCCCACCAGACAACCTGAACTGCTGCCCCAGGGCCTCCTAGATCAGAGAGCCTTGCCTGGGCCCAGTCCTGCAAGTCCCCCACCCATTGCACCTCCATCTCACCAGCCCCATGACAGCCTCCCTGCTCCAGACCAGGAAACCCTTCACCCACGCTCTCACGCCACAGTATTTGGGACCAGAGGGCCTGGGTTCAAGTGAACAGCCTGCCACTTACCAGCTCTGCAAGCCTTTAGCAAGTCATTCTCTGAGGCTCAGTGACTTCATCTATAAGTTGGAAATAATGCAAACATTTCTTCATCACCTCTCAGGATACAGTGAAATAATGATTAATGAAGTGCTTTGTAAACTCTCAGAAGCTAAGCATATATGTGCTATCATTGTCGTTATTATTCCTCCAGACCCAAAATTGGCCCCACATACACATACAAAAGGGGAAATCTTCCATACAAGTCTAAACCTTCCAAACCTAGACGAAGACTCACCTAACATGACAAACAGTTATTGAGCACTTACTGTATGCTAGGCATGCAGCAGAGTGCAGAATACACAAAAGTGAGAGACAGTTTAAAAGAGAAAACAGTCTAAAGGCAGAAAACCCTCCCTACTGAAACCCTGACTCTGTCCCAGGCCCTCAAGACTCACCGTGTGTCCACACGGTTCTAGATAAGCATGCTCCAGGCACATCCTAACTGTACCCCCACCTGCTCCGTTTGCTGCCCAGCTGTTTGCTTCCCAGCAGGACCGAGCACATTCTTTTTCCATAATGCTGTTTTTCCAACATTCAGAGCAGGAGTTTATGACTTTTTGGTGCTGGGAACTCCTCTGGCCGTCTGATGAAACCTATGGCCCCCTTCTCCAAGTAATGCTCTTAAATGCAAAATCTTGATTGTACGCCTGAAATTAACTTCTTCCCCACTGAGCGCAACAGATCTGTGTTTAAATCCAACCTGTTGCCACTTTCTAGCTGAGCAGTGTTAGGCAGGTCACCTAACCTCCCTGAACCCATTCTCTTATCTATAAAATGGGGACTCCTGCCTCACAGGTAGTGAGACAATGCACCTTTAGCACCTGGCACATAATAGGTCATACAGTGCCTGTACACACAGTGCCTGGCACACAGTAGGCTTCATTCGCTTCCTGCCCAGACTTTGCCATTAACACAGAGAGAAACCAAGTGAATTGGCATTTCCCCTCTTCTCCTGGCTGCACTCAGTCCTGTGTGAAGGAACTCTCCATTTTGGAAATGATCCGAAATCTGAGGAACAGCGGCATCCAGGGCCCTGATCATTCCCAGAGGCCCAAGCTGACCCTGACCAAATGAAAACTGACCACAGCAAAAATAAAAATCTCCCTCAACTCAAAGAGAAAGAGCAGAGGCCTTGGTCGAGAAGAGAGTGAGTGGGCAGTGGCTCCAGGCGTAAGGGACAGGGCGTGTGGAAGGCCAGGCTGGCTGGACCTCTCCCATCTCAGCCAGCTCCTTCTCTCTCCTCTCCCCTACCCCATCTCTCTTCACTCCTACCTCTGATCTGCACCCCCACTCTCTTTGCCATCTACCTCAACCTTTGCTGAGCTCTTCCTGTCCCTGCCCAGGTGGCCTCTAAGCAAATGGAAGGTGGGTGAGGGGCTGCGGCAGTGAAGACAGGAGGAACCCCAGACTCATCAAAGGGCCAAGGGAGAAAGTCCAAGGACTCACCCATAGTAAGGGAACATTCTAGAGCCAGGACCATCTCCTCAATTGGAAGGGGTTGGCCATTCACTCACCTATCCAACACATGTTTATTGAGCAGCAGCTTTGTGCCAGACACTGTGCTAGCTGCTTTACATATATCTTATCATTTAATCTTCTTAAAGGCTCTATGCAGTAGGCATCATTAGCCTTGCTTACAAATGATGACTTGGAATCTCAGTGAGAAAAAGCAGCTCCCAGGGTCACAAGTAGCATATGGTGGAGCCAGGACTTGAACCCACATCAGTGTGGTCCCAAAGGCTCTGCACTCTATGACCTCGCACCCATACCATTCTGCCTGGTATCAAGTCAGTGGTTTAATTTGTGTAGCAGGGCAATCCAGAATTAGGCACCGAGCAAACTCGATTGAATGTACTGTTAAGGTCAAGGGGGTTTCAAGGACACTGACATCCCAGGAGCTACCATTTTCCACCCTGGCCCCAGGAGGGAGCATTGCTAGGAAGGAAGGTGGAGCTGCTCCAAGTCTGGGCTCTCAGTATGCGAGCTGAGCTGCTGGAGCAAAGGAGACCCCTGATCTACCCACTTGGGGTGCTAAGGTCCTACTGTCTAGTTTCCTGCCGCAAGTGGAGGTGGGAGGCTCGCCAAGCTCTCCACCTGAGTGAGGGCCCGGAGGTCAGACCCCTGGCTGCCCCGCCTTTGTCTTCATACCTCATACTCACAGCGCCATTCTCCCAGCTGCACTGAAGGCTTTATTGGGGACTTTTATGAGTTAGGAAGAGGGTTTCCATCAGCAAAGTTGAAGCCCCAAGGGGGCTCAGACATTTTTTTGCTTTTTTTCTGCAGTGGCTGCAGCACTGCAGTACTAGGAGGAAGTTTTGTGATACGTTGAACCCAGAGTTGTGGTCAGTACATAAAACAAGATGCAAACAGTGGGAAGGAGGGGGTGGTGCATTTCCTGGAGGGTAATATGTATATTATCACCACCACTCACTGTCATCGGGTCAATTCCAACTCATAGTGACCCTATAGGACAGAACAGAACTGCCCCATAGGGTTTCCAAGGCTGTAAATCTTTACAGAAGCAGACAGCCACATCTTTCTCCTGAGGAGCAGCTGATGGGTTCCAATCTCCAATCTTTCGATTAGCAGCCAAGCACTTTAACCACTGCACCACCAGGGCTCCTCGTGTATGTACATAATCAATCTTCTTTGGGCCTCTGGTGCACCCAGACCGTGGAAGCGACGATGGAGATACTTCTCTATGCACGTAACTCTTAATTGAGACATCCATTGCCTCTGAGACACAAAGTAAAATGAGGGAAAGGCTGCAGTGCTTCTTGAGTAGAGAGCACCCATGTACTGGACACTGAGTGAGGTACCTTTCTTTAATAGCTACGTTAGTCACCAAACAGCAACAGGTCTTGTCTAGCTCGCTGTATGATCTGCAGAGGTGGCTCAGCTCTTTTCTGTCCTTGCATTCACCACATGATTGGGTGTTTGATTTATGTGGCCCTGTCCTTTACACAGAAGGAGCCCTGGTGGCGCTGTGGTTAAGGGCTGGGCTACTAACCGAAAAGTGGGTGGTTCTAACCCACCAGCGGCTCCTCAGGAGAAAGATGTGGCAGTCTGCTTCTGTAAAGATTTACAGCCTTGGAAAACCTATGGGGCAGTTCTAGTCTGTCCTACAGGGTCACTAGGAGTCGGAATCAGCTATGTGGCAGTGGGAGGTTAGGTCCTTTACGCGGGTTCCTGGGTGGCACAAATGGTTTGTGCTCGGCTACTAACCAAAAGATTGGTGGCTTAAATCCATCCAGCAGCTTCTTGAAAAAGAGGCCCAGCGATGTAGTTCCATAAGATTACAGCCATTGAAAACCCTATGGAGCACAGTTCTATTCTGAAACATGTGGGGTCACGATGAGTTGGAATTGACTTAACGGGCAATAGGTTTGGTTTGGATTTGGTATTTACACACATGGGGTCGCCATGAGTCAGAATCGACTCCACAGCAACTGGTTTGGTTTTTGGTCCTTTACAAGAACCCGATAAGGTATGATACTGTCCTGAGGGGTCAATTCTGTGCCCTCCAATTAACTAAATCCAAATTAATTTAATTACAAATCCTATAATAAACCCACAACCAAAGGAAGAAAAGTCTAGTCTACAGCCATATCCCGTGGTCTTATCGTTAAATCAGAATCACCCAAAAGTTCACAAAATCCTCAAACTGTAGCATGAGAAACTGAAGGTAGACATAAGGAAGAACTTCTTATGCAAGAGAGATTTTACCCCCTAGAGTGAGGAGACAAAGAGAAGAGTTTGCTTTCCTGAAAGTGAGAAAGTTCCCTGCCACCTATCTGGGCCTGCCCTAGAGGCAAGGGATCGAACAGAATGACTCTATCTGGCAGCAACAGTGGCAAGCTGGTCCCCACACCCCCCTACAGCTTTTACTATTGTCCTCCATGACCCTGCCTCACTTGGCAGCTGTTCCCAATCTTGTCAAAGAGGGATGAACAGCTGACAGGGGTGTGGAGCAAGGGAAGGAGGGTGTGTTTGCTTAGGGCTTTCTGGGTGGGGGTGGCAAGCCCTCACATTCAGCCCTGGGATTACAGAGATCCCGAGGTCTTTTTCCACCCTCTATCCCAAACGCCCTACCTGGCCAGGTCTGTGCCCTCTGCCCATTCGGTCACCCTGGCCTTGGCTGCTGCACTGGGCCTGAGTCACTCTTTGGGGAGCCAGAGCCAACTTGGGGATCAAAGACTCTGCTGTAAGGGACCAGTCAGCATTTCAGGAAGGGGCCAGAGGGCAGTGAGAGGATGAAGACCCCTCAGAGGTGGGGTGGGGGTCCGTGCAGGGCCTCTCCTTTCCCAGGGGTAGAGAGTAGCCCCTCCTGGCCTCCCACCTGGATAGGTGCAAACAGGGGTTTCTCAATATGTTTTAACAACAAAACCCTTCTTGAGACCACATGCATAGACCCATTTGTAAAACAAATAAAAGGAGAGATGCTCTGAGGAGGGGCTGTGAGCCCTTCCACACAGTGGCTTCCTCTCTGACCCCCAAAAGCAGGGTCTTCAGGCTCCAGGAAATCAGTGTGGAAACCCCTGGGGCCAGGCCATTCCCGACCTTCAACAAGCATTTCGAAGTAACACATTTACTACCAGTGAGTCCTCCTGGCCCATGATGTAATCTTTGAGTTTTATTAAAACTGTCTCTGTTTAATTTTTAAGCCCTAAATCTAATTTCAATAAAACTGATTTTCTTTTTTTTCACTCTGCCTTTAGCTTGTTGTGGCTGTTAGGCCTCTCTCTGGGACTCAGTTTTCTCACCTCTGAAATGAAAAGATTGCCTTCTGACGTCCCTTCCAGCTCCACCCCTCCTACTTCTCTGTCTTTTTCTATACAAAGGAGCCCCAGTGGTGCAGCGGTTAACTACTCAGCTGCCAACCAGAAGGTCGGCGGGTCAGAGGTTCAAACCCACCAGCAGCTCTGTGGGAGAAAGCTGTGGCAGTCTGCTTTCATAAAGATTACAGCCTTGGAAATGGGTATGTGGCAGTTCTACTCTAGCCTATAGGGTTGCTATGAGTCAGAATCGACCCGACGGCAGTGGGTTTCTTTTTTTTGGTTTTTTTCTGTACAAGCCTCATATCCCATTGGTTATGAACGTGGGCTCTTGAACCAGACCACACTTGCATTCCAAACCAAGCTCTGCAACTTAGTAGCTGTGTGACCATAGGTTGCTTATTTAACCACTCTGTGCTTCAGTTTCCTCATTTACAAAAACCGCAAAGCCAAACCCATTGCCATCGAGTTGATTCCAACTCATAGCGACCCTATAGGACAGAGTAGAGCTGCCCCATAGGGTTTCCAAGGAATGCCTGGTGGATTCGAACTGCCGACCTTTTGATTAGCAGCCAAGCTCTTAACCATGGCGCCACCAGGGCTCCCCATCTGCAAGGAGATGTGGTGAAATGGCGCTTATGTCACAGACTATTGTGAAGATTACGTGAGTTAAAGCATTGACAGCAGTGCTGGCACACAGGAAGCACTCGATAAGCATGAGTATTTATTCCAATAACATGTTGACCCCAAGCCCAGATGCCTGAGAAGAGAAGCCTCACTCTGTAAGTGGAACTGCCTCCCGAAGCTAGGGACCACTCAGGTTGGTGAGGTAGAGCTGATTTTGCTAAGCGCTAGACCCTGTGTTCCTGAAATGCGGTTTAAGTTTTGAGTCAAAATCCCATCCCCAAACTCTCTGGGTGGTACAAACGGTTAACGTGCTCAGCTGCTACCTGAAAGAGTAGAGGTTTGAGTCCACCCAGAGGCACTTTGGAAGAAAGGCCTGGCAATCTACCTCCCAAAAATCTGCCATTGAAAACACTATGTAGAACAGTTCTACTTTTGACACACGTGGGGTCGCCATGAGTCAGAATTGACTCAACAGCAACTGGTTTGACATTCTCGTAACTCTGGCAGAAGTTTTCACTTTTCTGGGATCTTCTGAGAAAGACTGAATAGCCAGGCTAAAAGAGTGGAGGGGACATCAAGGAGGGTCCATTCCAACATGAACCAGAAGTAACCAGTGCCAAGGAAAGGAGGGGCATGAGGAAAGCCTCTATTTAGGCAGATTGATTTGATCGCAGAGTCTAGGAGTGTGGGAGAGGCAGGACAAGCAGGTCGGCCAGTTGGGGAATTACTTGGGTGTAGGGTGTGAAGCGGGATCTGGGCTCAGAGTAGGGAACTGTAGAGGTGAAGAGGAAAAGGTTGGCTCTGAGAGACAGTGGAGGAAGAATCAGTAAGATTGGTGAGTGATGGAAGCAGGGTGGGACAGAGAAAGCTTCTGTGGAGGGCTTAGAATCAGCAGGCCTGGACATCACTAAGCTGCCACTAACCAGCTGTGCAGCTTTGGGCGGGAGACTTAACTTTTGTGAGCCTCAATTTCCGCACCAATGAAATGGGATATAACATGCCCTCTACTGAATTCTCGGGCTGCTGTAAAGGTCACAGGCAAAGTGATGCATTTGTGAACCACAAAATCTTATTAAATGTGGATGTATCTTGATGACTAAAAGTGGGAGCTGAGAAATCCAAGTTAACTCCAACATGATGCTCTGGGAAGGTAGAGGCCAGGTGGAAGGGCAGCAAAAGGAATCAATTCTCATTTTAAAAAAATATATATATATCATAAAGTCACTTCCCACTCATGGCAACCCCGTGTGTGCAGAGTAGAACCGTGTTCCAGGGGGTTTTCAATGCTGTGAACTTTCAGAAGCAGATCACTAGGCCTTTCTTCCAAGGCTCCTCTGGGTAGGTTCAAACCACCCACCTTTCAGTTAGTAGTCAATTCCTCAACCGTTTGCACCACCCAGTGTCACCAGGAATCTCATAAGTTCCCCCATAAACCAGATGCTTTATGCTTGTTCTCATCACAATCCTGCTTTTACAAAGGAGAAAACTGTGGTTCAGAGAGGTTAAGTAACTTGCCCGAGGTCACACAGCTACTAAGTGGCAGCGCTGGAATTTAAACCTAAGTCTGCCTCATTCTGAAGCCCAAGATCTTTCCACTGAACAAATCACACTGTCTGCCCCACCCAGAGTTGGTGGAAGGCTGAATAGTCATCAGGGGGTGACTGGGTAATGAGCAGCCGCTCAGTAACCACTGTTTCCTGCCTTGAGCAACTTACATGTTCCCTCTGAGCCTCAGTTTCCTACTGTGCTCTATGCAGGGGAGAGAGTAATACCCAAGTCTTAGAGTGGTTGAAGGCGCTCTGGAGGTGCAGTGGTTAAGCACTCAGCTGCTAACCAAAAGGTCGGTGATTCAAACCCACCAGCCACTTCACGGGAGAAAGATATCGCAGTCTGCTTTCTTAAAGACTACAGCCTTGGAAACTCTATGGGGCGGTTCTACTCTGATATAGAGTCGCTATGAATCGGAATCGACTCAATGGCAATGGGTTTGGTTCTGGGTTTAGAGCGGTCGAAGGTAGTGAGTTAACATGCTTACTTAGCATGGCGATTGGGACATAGCGAGTGTGTGTTTGTGCTGGTGGTGGTTGTTGCTGCCTCAGCTGGGCGGGACAGACTCTGGAGCCACAGACAGCTAGCTGTACTTGCCATTTATTGAGACACAGGCAGAGGCAGGGGTGGGGGGTGGGGGTAGATTCAGGATGGTGGTCTGGTGGGAGACTGGGGAGGTTGAACGGCCTTTGGGGGACCATTCCTGACTTCTGTCTCTCCTTCCTCAGCCTGCAGATGAGCCAAGGAGGTGAGGAAGCTGAGACGGCCTGGGAAATCCAGCCTCCTCTCAATGGTCTAAAGATGCCCCCCAATCACCAAACACATCACTCAGGCTTGTGACTTTAACCTCGCCTCCCATCTCATTGCAGAACCAAGGAGAAAACCTGGATAGATATGAGCCCTTCCCCAAATGCAAATCACATGCCAATAGTCTGTTATGCAAATACTTGAGATCTTTGGTCCTCTGGGCTTTTCCTGCTCATAAGGAGGGTGGGTGGGGAGGGCAGAAGAGGAGGGTGAGGGGGGCAAGGAGAGGCTTGCAGGAGTCTCGGCTTGCAAGGCTTAGCAACTAATACCTCCGGCTGGTCTTCCGCAGGATGGAGGTGCCCCCAGAGACAGCGCCCCCCTTGGCAGAGCTGTAGCCAACATTGGTGCTGAAACCACCTTTGATGCCTCCCCCATCCCCAGCCAAGGAGATGCCACCCCCGATGCCAGCTGTGCCACCTCTGCTCACAGTGGTAGAGTTGCCAGTCACAGCTGCAAGGCAAAAGGTCTGGGTTAGGCAGGCAGCTGTGCCTGGAGAGGGCCAGATGACATCTAGGAGTGGGTGAGGGGTGGAATCAAATCAGGCAGTGGAGCCAAGGGAAACAGAGGAACCAGGAGTGGGAAGCGTGTTTTCTGGGCACCCCCACCCCAAACCTGCCCCAGGAGCGCCTGTGGAGGAGAGTGTGCTTGAGGCCAAGGACAGATTGAATGAACTGAGCAGAGGAAGGGAGCTAGACTGGGGACGGGTGGGGGCTGGGCAGCAAAATACTCACAAATGCTAACCGCGCTCTGACATTCTCCAGACATCCTGGGGGAAACAGAAAGGTCAGTGTCCCCAAGAACCCGAGTAAAATTCCTTTCCTTCCTTCTGTCTCTACACTGGGTCATCTTGGTAGGTCAGCTCTCGAGAGCCAAGGCCCGAATGACAAGACCAGAAGATGATGGAAACTGTGCCCATGTGATGTGGTCCATACATACAACAGAATATTACTCAGCCATAAGGAGAGATGAAGTCCCGATACACGCTATGACCTGGATGAACCTCGGAAACATTATACTAAGTGAAGTAAGCCAGACACAAAAGGACAAATGCATGATTCCACTTATATGAAACATCTAGAATAGACAAATGCATAGACACAAAAGGTTATTAGTGGTTAGTCTGGGAGGAGGGGGCAAAACCAGTTGCTTTTGAGTCAGTTCTGCCTCCTGGTGACCCCACATGTGTCAGAGAAAAGCTGTGCTCCATATGATTTTCAATGGCTGATTTTTTGGAAGCAGATTGCCTGGCCTTTCTTCCAGGCACCTCTAGGTGGACTTAAACCTCCAACCTTTCAGTTAACAGCCGAACATGTTAACCATTTGCACCACCCAGGGACAGGAGGAGGAGATAATGGGGAGTTATTGCTTAATGGGTACTGAGTTTCTGTTTAGGGTGGCTGTAATCTTAATGGAAGCAGATCACCAGGCCTGTCTTCGGTGGTACCACTGGGTGGGTTCGAACCACTAACCTTTAGGTTAGTAGTTGAGCACAAACCATTTGCGCCTTCCAGGGTCAAAGCTTCCTCTGGTGATAGAATCTGATGCTGCAAGAGAGTCTCCTACATCTTCCCAGCCTCATTTGGTTGTTGGCAACCATAAGGGTTAACAGTGGGATGATTGTGCCAACCAAGGAGAGAGCAGGCAGAGGAAGGTTCAGTGAACACGAGTGGGAAATCACCCTTAGATGATGAGTTAGGAGCCCAGCCTCCTGGGTTCCTCCCTTGGTTCCCTGACCCATCATTAGACTACACAGGCTCTTTCACCAGGCAGCACAGGGAAGGCCTCTGAATTGGGGAAGGAGGGGGCACCCACCGGCTCTCTTCGCCTTCCAGGAGGGTACAGTAGGTGGCGATCTCCACATCCAGGGCCAACTTGACATTCATCAAGGCCTGGTAGTCACACAACAGCCGTACCAGGTCCTCCTTAGCTTGATGCAGGGCCACATTCAGGTCTCCAAGCTTCTTCTGAGCATCCTTGAGCGCCAGCTCCCCACGCTGCTCTGCTTCTGTAATGGCTGTCTGCAGCTGCTGGCACTGCCCAGGGGATGAGAGGTGTTGGAAACACCCTCCAGAGTCATTCTATCCATCACTCTGCCCTCAAGCCAGGCACCACCATCCCCATCCCTTTGCCCCAACCAAATGGGAAAGAAGGAAAGGAGAAATACTTGTCTAAAAGAGATGCTATTACACAAGCAGGATCATGTAACACAACCGGGAAAGTCTTTACTGAAGTCTAACTTCAATCTCTCCCACTGCAGCTCAGCCCAGTGCCTCAGAAGAGATTTTAAAAAATAATGCAACAACCTCATCAATAACCAAATGCTTCACTCTGGTCTGGGGAGGAGGCCACACTTTTTAGTCATCCCCTAGATGGAGTCAGCAGCTGTGACCTGGACCCTTGAACTCCCAGCCTCCTGATCTGGCCTCCTGGAGATGGGTCCAGTCTCCTTGGAGAGGGTCGTTCCACCTGCTCTACCACTTATATGCTGTGTGACCTTGGACAAGTCTATTCCCCTATCTGGGCCTTTCGCCCCTGTAAAAGGAGAGTGTTGCTCTTGATGGCACAGCATTAGAGTGTGTCTCATCCATCAGAAGAAGAGTGGTCTCGTCCCTCAAGATGACAATGAGAAGGTCCCTCACCCCCACCAGCCTCCGGGCCTGACCCCAGGTCCTTAGTTCAAGGCCCACCTGCTTTTTGGCTGCATCCATCTCACCCTGCAGCCTCTGGATAGTACGGGTGAGCTCAGCGATCTCTTTCTTGGTGTGCCGCAGGTTGTCCCCATGTTTGCCAGCCATCACCTGCAGCTCCTCATACTGGAGGCCAAAGCAATGACCATGAGACGTCAGATGGTTTCCAGGCCACATGCATAAGCACTGGCCCCAGAGCCCACCGTCGAGGCTGGAGGCCCCTCCAAGGGGCCCAGTGACTCAGGCCTCTTGCAATGGAACAATGTCTGTGTCCAGCCCTGGCCCAAACACCTGAGCCAGTTGTTTTCCTCACCTTGGTCTGGTACCAGGACTCAGCCTCGGCCTGGCTTCTCTGGGCAATCAGCTCATACTGGGCCTTGACCTCAGCAATGATGCTGTCCAGGTCCAGACTGCGGTTGTTGTCCATGGATAGGACCACGTTGGTGTCAGACACGTGGGTCTGCACTTGGCTCAGCTCCTGCAGAAACAAAAATCACTGCCACCTGCACCCCTGCCCCAGGTCCTGGGGATGCCATAGAAGCATGGAGGACGGAGGCCCCCAGGTGACATCAGGAGGCCTATGCTCTTCTCCAGGCTTCACCCTAAAAGGAGACCCACAACTGCAAGGAAAAGTCTCATGTCCCCAGCTGTGAAATGGGGCTCCCATTTTTCTAGACTTCACTTCTCTTTGTGGATTTGCAGGCTTCCAAGAGATTAAAGGAGAAAGGGCATGTGCACTTACTACACACAAGCTAGGTGCCAGGCGCTTGCTAGCACATACATTTCCCCTTTAATCCTCAGCACACCCTGCAAGGCAAGCAGGGCCACAGCTGGCCGCGTGCTTTGGTACATTGGTAAAAGGGGTCTCCCAGGAGGAGGCAGCCTGCACTGGGGCCTGAGGAGCTGAGTATGGGCCAGATTCCAGCCCCACTCTCCTCTCAGCCAGTTAACAACCTGCACCACTGTTCACAGTGTTCCTGAAGGTAGGTATTGTCATCCCTACTTTGCAAATGAGGAAGGTGGCTCAGAGAAGAGGAGTAACACACCCAAGGTCAACAGGTACAAGGGTGAGGCCCCAGCTAGAACCAGTGAGTTGAGCACAAAGCCCAAGTGGTTTCCTCTAGAATATTTATAGACTATTGCGATGTTCTTGAACTCTTTCTGTGTTTCTAGGACCATCAGCTTACTAGAACAGGAGTCTAGAAATATCACCTCTAGAACACATAAACAAGAGTTTAAAGATCCTATGACAGGCAGGTTAGGTGGTGGGCAGTCCAGGGTCTCTGCCCCAGCCTTGGGGACAGCTCCATTGTTAGGTCCTGACTCTGTCGGTCCCCAGTTGGGCTCTGCCTCTGTCTTTCCCATGGTCCTTCCTGCCCTAGACTGCCAACAGATTGTCCCAAAGACCAGCTCTGCTCAAATCACTTATCCACTCAGTACTCCTCAGAGGTTCCCAACAAGTAGAGAATCTTCCCTCTAAAAGTCCATATGTTCTGTATTCTGGACTTGTCTCCAGCTATTCACGTACACTGGTCCTTCACTGTAACCAAAGCGACCATAGAGACAGACATATATAATAATAACAACAACTCTCACTTACTGTGATTCCAGACACTGTGTTAGGTACTAACTCATTACATGCCCTTTTAAAATAACACAAAGAGTTTAAGTTAACTTGCCCCAAATCATAAGCTAGTAAGTGGGGAGCCCAGTTTCAAACCTAGGGAGTCTGATATAATATTAACAACAACTAGAACCTCGACTACTCACTATAATAATAACACCAGAACCTAAGATGACACAGACTAAAATAGACAGAAATAAAAAGAAAGAGAAATACCAAAGCTGAAACCAATATCCATACTGATTTAGACTGGCAAAGTAGATTGTCATTAAGAAGGCAGATCCCAGAGGGGGCGGGCAATGCAGAAACTGAAACATTCGAGGTTTAGGGAAAGGCATGAGCTCTGGAAACAGACAAACCTAAGTTCAAGTCCCCCACCTGAAATTCATTAGCCGTGTACCTGAAGAAGTCGTTAAGCCTCATGATGCCTCAGTTTCTTTTTCTGTAAAATATCCATAATAATACCTTTTTCGTGCTGTTGTTGTGAGGCTTTGGTAAGATCCATACATAGCCCATGGTGAGTGCTTAGTAAAATGCATTTTTATTTGCCCAGAGTTCCCTCCTGTTAGGCATATTTGCTACAGATGGTATCATTTTGTCACAACCCTGCTTTGTCGTCTTTCTCATCCATGACAAGACTGCCAGCATCATAGTCTCAAAGCATCACACCCCCTCCATGCTTTCTCATCTCATCTTCCCTCTACAGACCCATTCCAAAGCATGGTCCTGAGGGAACTCAACTTGGAAATTTTAAGACAAGCAGGCAAAAAATATCTACCAGACATCACCATGAGCGGATGAGGTGGTGGTCTTGCTAGAACAAGGAAATAGAAAGGTCAGCCTTTCCAAAGAAATAGAGTAAGCGTAAAAGGAGAGAGAGTCTGAAGTGACATCACTGGAGGAGGGGATGGATCCCACAGACCCCAGGCTAGAAAGAGGCCTCAGAGGCTGCTTCCCTAACCTACGAGACATGCCAGTGATGGGCAGTTCACCCTCCAAATTTCCGATGGTCGTCTGGCTTGGCCAAAACCAGACCATGGGATCAATTTCTGAGTGCCATATTGACCATCATGTCTCTTATAAAGTATGTCAGTCAACCAGGGAGCTGCTGCTTTGGCCATCATTTCTACCCACTGATGGGTGATGAGGAAATTTGACAGGAAGTGGCCCTGGCTTGGTCCCTAGCCTGCCCTCTTTCCACCTATCCACCTATTTCTCCCCATACACTTTCGATACCCAACCCATCAATCACTTGTTGTTCCCCAAACACACAGTGCTCTTTGATGCCTCCAAGACAAGGCACAGGCTGGGGCCCCTGGCTGGCAGGCCCTTCCCACTACTCCTTTAGAAGTCTTATCTATCCTTCATGGTCCATCTCAAATGTCCTTTCCTCTAAAGGCTCTTCCAGCCTTCCAGGAAGGGTCAGCCACAGCCTCCTTCATGGTTCTCTTCACATGACAACTCAGCACCAGACTGCAGGCCTCCCAAGGGCAGGACTTGGCCTTTCTGTTGTCACATTGAAGGCACTCAGTCATTGTTTGTTAAATGGACAAGTAATAGCAAAGGAAAGAAACGCTTAGTACATCAAACATGTGCATTAGATAACAAGGAAGCCAATTCCTAAACATTCAGAGAAGCGAGGGAAGGAGTGAGAACTCGTGACCTGGCCTAAAAGAGACCAGAACCTAAGAGAGGGGAATAAGGAAGCTCTAAACAATGTATTTCCATTAATGAACCTAGTAAAGAAGAATTTGGGGAGTCACCTGAAAAATCAGCTTGGTGGCCCAGAATATTCCCCAGCAAGCTCCATCCTGACCAGGCATGCAGAGACAGGGGAGAGAGAGCAGCACAGCCAAGGATAATCTGGAGGAGATGCTAAGGCCAATGGACAGGGGCTGCTAGATAAACCCTAGGCAAGAACAAGGGAGGCACCATTGGGCCAATTCCTTCAAAAGACCAAGGAAAAGCCAGCAACTCAACTGCTATGTTATTTTCCATCAAGGAGAACAGTAATCAAACTGGAAAGGGAAGGATAAAATGCTTGAGAGGAAATGGAAGCCCAAGACAGGGAGAGTATGAGAGGCCTTGGCCTTGTTGGTGAGCTGGGGGTCCAGCCAGAGAAGTATGTCCCAGGAGACCAAGGGGATGTTGAGGGAATGAGAGAACTCCCCCTGGTGATCCTTGAGAAATGTGGAGCATAGGGGAGGCTCTACTACGTCCTGATGGTCAAAGGTGAGAGAGGCGTTTAGAATTCTCCAAATTAAGCTCAATGTCAATCTCCTACAAACCTCTAGAATGAATCGTAAAATGTGTCTTTGAGGCATAGAGCCAGCAAGAGTCCCCCAAGGAAAATCAAGCCAAATAGATTTCATTATCTTTCATGATTGTGTTACTAAACTGCAAAAAAAAAAAAAAAAAACCTGCCATCAATTGACCAAGGCTTTCTTGGCATTCTTGTAAATAAGACAAAAAAATTGGGCTAGATGGCATGGGTAGGTGGATTTGAAAGTAACTGACCCACTTCAACCACAGATTGTGGATGGTTGGGGTGATGTCAGCCTGAGGGGAAGTCACAGTGAAGAGCCACAGAGCTCAGTTCCTGACCCCGTCTGCCTTAACGTAATGTTATCAAATAACCAAACTAAAAGTTTACCAAGTCTGCAGATGACCCAAGTTGGGCGTAACTAATATACGAGATAAAAGAATCAAGTTTCAAAATACCCACAACAGCCTAAAACAATGGGATGAAGCCACAATAACATTTCACAGGGAAAGAAGGAATAACTAATTCTTGCACTTAGTTTCAAAAATCCAACTACCCAGAAATTGGAGGAAGGTGGGTGCATGACTGACTTGAAAGCATTCATGTGAAAAAATCCAGGGGCTTCTAGGAAGGGCTTCTAAAAATAATATATAATCAAATGCAATATTAGAAGCCTCCACCCCACTTTTTTATGAGTTCTGGCTAAAAACACCCAAGTTCCCTGAACTTCCACACATGCCACAAATTCCAGTCCCCAATCATCCTGACCTCTAACAGACTGTCATATGAAAGACATATGTCACATGGAAAACAATTGTTTATTTGCAGCCCGGAGGGCAGAATCAGGAGCAAGAAATGAAGTCATGGGAAGAAGATTCAGGCCAGCTTTCTAACAAAGTTGTTCAACAATATAACTGCCTACCCTAAAAAGTAATGAGCTCCCTGCCACTAGAAGTATCCAGGTAGAGGCTACATGACCACCTGTCAGGGATATTATAGAAAGGATTCTTGCAGTGGGCAGGAGATTGACCTACTGATTTTAATAGTTTGATTCTATAGTCTGTTCACGTTAAGTTCAAACCTCTCAGCCTAGTTTGCAAAGCCCCCTTGACCCCTATGACCCCTTCTGTATTCCTAGGTCTACCCACTGCCCACAGCTCTCCTCCTGCTCCATCCTGGGACCCTAGTACATCCTCTCTGCCCATCTCTGCTCCTCCATTGCTTGCTCCATTACAAACTGGACAGGAAGAGGGGATAACAGAGTGTCAAGAGTCAGACTTCGGAGTCTGGGAGAACCAGTTTTTATTTCTGGCTCTGTCTCTTACTATGTGACCTGAGGCTTACTCTGGGACTCAGAGTCCTCAACTATAAAATGGAGACAACAATAATACCTACATTATGGAGTTGTTGAGAATATTATGCAAAAAGCTTAGTCCAGTGTCTGGCGCATCATAACCACACAATACATGGACATTATATTAATAATTAATAAAAGGGTCAAAGTTCCATCTTCTATCAATTAAGTTGCACTGATTAATTCAGATCAGACCTCCAGGGAAATCCTCAAGGTATTTGTAAATGTATGCAAACTATCCTGGTCCACAACAAACTCACCATTTCATAGAGATGCTGCAGGAAGACAATCTCATCAGTCAAGGTGTCCACTTTGCCATGCAGATCCATTTGGCCCATGTATGCCGCATCCACGTCCTGGGTGCAAAGGATAGAACAGGGCAATGTTTCAGTCCCCAGGGCTTTTACTTCTCCAAGTTAATCCAGCATCCTGGAAACCAAAGGACCACCTCTCCCGACTCCCTGACACCCTGCTCACCTTCTTGAGCATCACAAACTCATTCTCCGCAGCAGTGTGCTTGTTGATTGCATCCTCGTACCTGTTACACAGGGAAGTCTCAGGCTAGGCCCAGCCCAAACCAAAAAAAAAAAAAAAAAAAAACCCAAACCCATTGCCATGGAATCAACCCGTGTATTATGGAGTAGAACTGCTCCATGGGATTTTCTTGGCTGTAATCTTTAAGGAATCAGAGCAGTAGGCTTTTCTTCTGCGGCACCACTGGGTGGGTTCAAACTGACAACTTTTAGGTTAGTAGTCAAGTGCCGACTGTTTGCTCCACCCAGGGACCTACTCTCAGCCCAGTTCTGCCTTTTAGGCATAGGACCCACTCACTTTAAGGAAGTCCTGATGGGCCCCATGTCAGCCAAGCTCTCTTTTGGGGATCAGCTCTTTAATGCAGCCAGCCAGTGAAAGAATGTGGGATACTGTCTTTATTTCAATATTCTCTCCTCCTCGCCCCTTTTGAGGAAAAGGGCACAGAATTTGTGCAATAATATGGCAATCAAGAGTAGCCTTCTCCTAGCATTAATCCAAAAAACACAAAATAATAAATGTTGGAGAGGTTGTGGAGAGACTGGAACACTTATACACTGCTGGTGGGAATGTAAAATGGTACAGCCACTTTGGAAATCAATTTGGCGCTTCCTTAAAATGCTAGAAATAGAACTACCATACGATCCAGCAATCCTACTCCTTGGAATATAGCCTAGAGAAATAAGAGCCGTCACACGAATAGACACATGCACACCCATGTTCATTGCAGCACTGTTCACAATAGCAAAAAGCTGGAAACAACCTACGTGCCCATCAAGGGACAAACAGATAAACAAATTATGGTATATCCACACAATGGAATACTATGCAATGATAAAGAACAACGATGAATCCATGAAACATCTCATAATATGGATGAATCTGTAAGGCATTGTGCTGAGTGAAATTAGTCAGTTGCAAAAGGACAAGCATTGTATGAGACCACTATTATAAAAACTCAAGAAAAGGTTTAAACACAGAAGAAAACATTCTTTCATGGTTACAAGAGTGGGGAGGGAGGGAGAGGGGTATTCACTAACTAGATAGTAGACAAGAATTATTTTGGGTGAAGAGAAGGACAGCACACAATACAGGGGAAGTCAGCACAACTGGACTAAACCAAAACGCTAAGAATTTTCCTGAATACAGCCAAACACTTCAAGGGACAGAGTAGCAGGGGCAGGGGCCTGGGGACCATGCTTTCAGGGGACATCTAGGTCAATTGGCATAACAGTTTATTAAGAAAATGTTCTGCATCCCATTTTGGTGAGTGGCATCTGTGGTCTTAAAAGCTAGCGAGCAGCCATCTAAGATGCATCAATTGGTCCCACCTGGAGTAAAGGAGAATGAAGAACACCAAGGACACAAGGAAAGTATTAGTCCAAGAGACAGAAAGGGCCACATAAACCAGAGACTCCATCAGTCTGAGACCAGAAGAACTAGATGGTGTCTGGCTACCACCAAAGACCGCTCTGACAGGGAACACAACAAAGAGTCCCTGACGGAACGGAGAAAAGCCGGGTGCAGAACTCAAATTCTAGTAAAAAGACCATACTTAATGGTCTGAGACTGGAGGGACCCGAGAAGACATGGCCCCCAGACTCTCAGTTTGACCAGAACTGAAACCATTCCTGAAGCCAACTCTTCAGACAAAGATTAGACTGGACTATAAGACATAAAATGATATGCATAAAGAGTGTGCTTCTTAGCTCAAGTAGATACATGAGACTAAATGGGCAGCTCCTGTCCAGAGGTGAGATGAGATGGCGGGAGAGAACAGGAGCTGGGTGAATGAACAAGGGAAATCCAGGGTGGAGGGGAAGAGTGTGCTGTCACAGTATAGGGAGAGCAACTAGGGTCACATAACAATGTGCGTATAAATTTTTGTGTGAGAAACTGGCTTGAACTGTAAACTTTCACTTAATGCACAATTAAAAAAAAAAAAAAAAAGAGTAGCCATCTCTTTGGATCAGAATCAGAATCCTTAAGAGGCTTTACGAGAACAGGTGAAGATGTGTCAACAGTTAACCTTGGCCTTTGCTTTCAACAGCACGATGTCATTTAAAGAGACTAACTCCTCCCAACTACTTTCGCTGAGACATTAAGGTTTAGGAATTGCCAGTGTCAAATTATGGAGAATGTTATTTAAAACTATGCCTTAAGATTATAAATGGTCATATCAACCCATCATAATATATGAACCTTATCTGGATCTTGCTTCAAACAAACTGTATTTTTATAATTTATGACATTTATGGGACAATTGCAAGTCAAAACTGATTGGATATTTTATGATATTGAGGAATTATTGTTTTAAAAGTTTTAGATGCAATTTAGGTATTTTTTTATGTTTTATTAAGTCAAGATATGCAGATGAAGTATATGAGTATGTCCAGTAAAATACTTGTGAACGGAATGACGTGATGGCTGGGATTTGAGAAGTGAGTAGGGGTATAGATAAAACAAGGTTCGATATCAGTTCATAATTATTAAAGCTGGGTGATGAGAACATGGAGATTCATTATATTATTCTCTCTACTTTTATAAATGTTTACATTTTCTATAACAAAATTATGAAATTGTCACAAACAACATGACAGTTCAGGAGGCAATGGATCCTGGATCTGAGTGCCTAAGGAAACCAGATCTGTCTGTGACCCTTCCCTCCATGCTGTTCCTTCCCCCTGCCCCTTGCCATGGTCCGGCTCCCCTCACTTGTTCTTGAAGTCCTCAACGAGATCCTGCACATTCCTCAGCTCTGAGTCCAGCCTCCCCCGCTCGCTCTGGATGCTGTCCAGCTGCCTCCGCAGGTTGCCCAAGTAGGACTCAAAGAGAGGCTTCAGGTTGTTCCTGGTGACACCCATGTTCTGGCCCTGTTCCTGCAGCAGCGCCCACTTGGTCTCTAGCACCTTGTTCTGCTGCTCCAGGAAGCGCACCTGAGCCAGAGCAAGAAAGGTAAGCTGGCACCATCTCCCAGCCATGGGAGGGGCTGAGGACAGGGGCCCACCACCTCCCACCAGTGGTCCATTGTCACAACCAGTCACAGACCAGGGCATCAAAGGGACAGTGCAGGGCCTAACCTTGCTGAGGGGAACAAGCTTTGCTGGAAATGGCAGTGCAATCAGAGAAAAAGAACTCTACAGAGCTAATTAATGTAAAAGCCTCAGCTCAGCCATTTACTAGTTGGTGACCTTAGTGAAGTTGCTTCTCTCTGGGTCTTGCTTTTTACTGTCCTGGGTAAACTGGACTAGATAAATGTTTCTGAACCCTAACTCTGCATCAGAATCAACTGTTAAAAATGTGTGTGTGTGTGTGTGTGTGTGTGTGTGTGTGAATATATATACACACATACAGAGAGAGAGCAAATTTGGCAAAATGTTAACAATTAGTGAATCTTGGTGAAAAGAGTATACAAGAGAATATTGTACTATTCTTGCAACTGTTCTGTAAATTTAATTTTTTTTCCAGAAAAAGAAAAGTTTTTTAAAATACCAATGCCCAAGCCCCATTTCTATAGACTCAGAAAGGGAGCCCTCAGGGGTTCTCTGCCCAGCCAAGGTTACAAGCCAATGGTCACCAGACAATCTCTCAGGCCCCCACCTTCCAGGCTGTGATTCTGAGAGCCTGAGAAAGGGTTTTGTTTCTGTGAGCTCTGAGATAGCCCCACAAAAGAATAAAAAGTCACTAGAGGAAAAGGTGAAGAGGGTAGGCGGAACAGCTTGCTTCACACTCTGCCATCCAGTCTCCCAGGTTCCAACCTCCACAGCACCTGGACCCACAGCCATGTGGTCAGGAGCACTGAGTAGCATTGCACCTGTCGTGAGCAGTGACGAAACCTCATGGTGCTGAGGATCATGGGGAGGCCCCATGTCCCCAGAGCTCTAGATCCCAACCCACGCTGGAGTCCAGGAATCTGGGTCCCAGTCCCACTTCTGCCTCCAAGTACCTATGTGATCCTGGAAAAATCACCTGAGCTCGCTAGACCTCAGGTTTCTCTTCTTAAAAATGGGCACAATATCACCTACCCTGACTCCTCATGACACCACTGTGGGTACCACAGAAGAAAGGGGAAATGAATTTCCTTGGAGAAAGCACAAATCAGTGAACCAAGGTATAGTCAGAATCTTCCTCATCAAGTCCCACTGCCTGAGGACTTAGGGTAAAGGTAGACAATACCAGCGAAATGTACCAGAATATGCCAGAGAGCAGTAGAGAGCCTCCCCAGTCAATGAGGAGACAAGGGAATCAGTCAGGGTACTCCAAATCTGAGACAGATTAAACTCCATACCCCCAGGTCATGGTGACCTGGTGATCTGCTCCTCATGGTCCACCCCAAACTGAGCTTCCTGGATCAAACAGGGAGGGGAAATAGGAGAAGAAAAGAGGGGACTTCCCCTGGGAGCCACCCTATTGGGTCCTGATTACATGTTTGCCCCTTAGGCCTCCTCCAAAGCTGACAGAACAGGATACAGATTCACAGTTCCATGCCCTCAGCCTTGGATAACTTGTTCTACTCTGAGCCATAGTTTTTCCAGCTGTAAAATGACAAAAGGCAACGAAGACCACCCACTAAGAGGAACAATAAGGACAATCCATTGTTTAGTTGTGGTATTAGGCTGATGTGTAACCATATTAATGACGGCCACAATAAAGATTCCAGAGTGGTAAAGACGGGCTTGGTCAACAGTCCTCAAGTGTAGATTCACTTGAGCAATTGCATTAACACCCAGAAGACCATCTCCAGCCATCTTGGCATCCTCAACTCAGGCCAGGAGAGCTCCAAAAATTATCCCATTAACCCTCCATCCCAGTGCACACGAACAGAGAACAGCTTTTGCCCAGTCCACGCTTCTCTTAGAGGCCCTGCTTCTATTCCAAGGGCTCCTCCTCCCTGCCCCCTCCACTGAAACCCACCTTGTCAATGAAGACAGCGAATTTGTTGTTGAGGGTCTTGATCTGCTCCCGCTCTTGGGTGCGCACCTGCTGGATCTCTGGGTCTATCTCCACGTTGAGGGGGGTCAGCAGGCTCTGGTTGACAGTGACCTCCTGGATCCCGCCAGGAGGGCAAGTGGGCCCAAATGTCTACCTGCCAGCTCCCAGGCCCATATAGGCCTCACCAGTGAGGCCAAAGTCCCCCAGAGCCTGCCCTGAGGAAGTCCCTCCAGCCACACTGGCTGAGATGCTCTTACTGCCCCGCAAGTTGTACAGGCTCCGGCTGCCAAAGCCACCTGTGCTAGGCTCACAGCGGGCCCCCCAACCACTGCCACTGCTTCGGGACATGGTCACCGAGCTGAAGCTGGTGCGGGTCCGGGACCCACCCCCTCCATTAGTAGAGTTAGAGCTGAAGCCCCCTTTTGTGGAGAACCTCTGCCGAGACATAGCAGACCTCATGGCTGTCAGAGGGATGCAGAGCAGGCTGAGCTGGGAGCTGGAGCTGGGGAGGGAGCGCAGTGAGCTGCTGGGCCACTGATGGGCTTTTTATCTTTTCCCAGCTGGGCTGGTTCTTAGGCTACACAAACACTCCTGCCCCATCGCCCCAGGAGGCAAGGGAGGGGCTCTGTGGGCCGAGGAGTGCCCCCTCCCCCAGCAGGAGGAAGGGGCTGCTCCCAGTTATTACCCACGCTCCAGAGCTGGGACGGAAGACTGTCTGGGGCGGGATGTCACCTTCTGCCCTCTCGAGCTCTCCTCCCTCCAGACAGAATGATACAGACCACCACAGCCATCCCTGCTGCCCAGTGATTGGCTTGATCCCCTCCCACCCAGCCCTGATGGCTGCTCTGTTCTGTGGGATTTGTCCCAGGCCCCTGTCGTAAGCCAAGGCCCCAGGGCCTGGGGCTGTGCAGGTGGTAAGGGAAGACATATTGAGAAATGGGCTGCTGGAGAGAATGTCCACGCCTGCTCCAGTCCCACCCTCCCAGCCCACAGCCTCATTTCCTCCTGGCAGGTCCAGGGTAGGGGGCACAGGTGGCAGAGTGAGGGTGGGGGCAGTCTGTTGTTTTGTCATACACTGACAAGTGGCTGAGTGGAGACCTGTGCTGGGCAAGGTGTCTATAAGGACAAAAAGAGGGTTCCTGCCCAACCATGGGCCTGGGCATCAGAGGAGGACACAAGAGAAGGCCTGGGCTTCTAAACAGTGGCCTGAAGCCTGGAGGCAAAGCACACCATTCTGGGGCTGAGGAGAGGCAGGGACACTTCATCTAGAGCCTGGAACCCCTGACACCCTGCCCCATGGTGGAGCCTGTTCAGAAGGGCCCAGCCATTTAAGAGAGAGCTGACCCATCCTGGCTGGAAATACGTACAGAACCAAGAGACCCACATAGCGCCACCATCATTATCATATTCCCCTGCCCACAAGGAGCCCAAAGGCTTGATTCAGAGAGATCAGGGGCTCTTTCAATCACTTTATATGGTTCCCTCCATGCCTTGCCCACCTACAGGCTACAAGGACAAAACACAGTGCTTAGCAAAAACTGAATACGTGAGGATGAGGGAGTGAGAGGAAGGGACCTTAGAGATTGTCTCTTCTTCCGTTCTTACAGGGAGAAACAGACCTAGAGGGGAGCAGACACAGGCACTTGCTGTGCTAGTCACACAGCAGCGAGGAGAGGAGGCAGGAGATGGGACCTGGATGGAGGGGTCCCACAGTGCCGCAGCCCAGAGGGGACTGTGGCATCTTTTTCTAGGGCCACTGGAAGGTTGTAAGTGGCTCCCAATTGCCAGAAGAAGGTGAATCCACTTCCACTGGGCAATGGGGATGAGGGGTCCTCCCCTCTCACCCAGCCCACACAGAGGACATGGGAGGCCACTTTGCCTTTTCCAGCCCTTAATCCCCAATCAGTCTCTTAATGCCAAGAAGAGGTTTTCTTCCTGCTTGGAGTGAGGACATCAGGCATTTGGGGTATCCTGGCTGGCAGATGAATCCCCATGGAGTGCTGTGTCCTCAGGCAACTCTTACCCTCTCTGGGCTTCATTTCCTCACCTATAAGCAGTGTACGCAATGGAAGACCTTTGGAAAAGCGAGGGCCTGAGATCCCAGGACTGAGCTAACACTTCCCAGTGATCTTTGTCTCCTTTCCCTGAGGCTGTGATCGCTTTCTCAGCCTCCCTTATCTCTCTCTACCACATGGTAGGTAGTAGAGACTGTTGTGAGTGGGGCTTCGCCTCCAGGATGTGGCTGTGGGCCCCTTGGGGAAGGGAGAGATGTCAGCACTCTGAGTCACGGCCGCAGCGGGAGGTGGGAGTGAGAGTCGGGCTGTAAACACAAACTTCACCCTACCCCAGAGACTGACAGTCACTCATCCAAGTCGTCCCCACACATTTACCCAGGACACACTCCGTGCCAGACATTGTGTTGGGCTCACAGAGCTCACTGGGGCTACATGGAGACAGCCTCCCTCCCACCAGTCAGGTAGCTCACCCGCCCCAGTCCAGACAGGGGACATGGATTCCACTTTGCCTTTTCCAGCCCTTAGACCCAATCTACTCTGACAGAGGACACCCAAGCTCACACCTTCCTTCTGCAGCCCAAGGAGAAGCAGTGTCATCTCTCCTGCCATCCATGGAGAGGGAGGGCTGCTCCCTGCTGTTGCTTATTTCCAGTGACCACTATCTCTGGAGTGTCACCTGGCCAGAGTCCCTCCTTGCCAGTAGGAGTAGAGGGGGTTGAATGCTGCTGCTTATAGGAGATGAGGCAAGACAGCTGATCATTCATCAGCCAATGTCAATTGAGTTTCTAAAGGGGGCCAGACTGGGTGCTAAGCACTAGGAAAGATACAGAGCAGGAGGTGATAAAGCTGCTGCCCTTAAAGAGCCCCCATAGGGAGGTAGGGCTTTCTGACTTAATCATGATTATTGTGATTGTCCGCATTGCTAGTTGTCATCAAGTTGGCTCCGACTCATGGTGACCACATGTACAGCAGAACGAGATTCTACCTGGTTCAGCACCATTGTCACAATTGCTGGTATGCTCAAGTCCATTGCTGAGGCCACTGTGTATTTTGAGTGCCTTCCAACCTAGGGTGCTCATCTCCAGCACTATATTAGTCAGTGTTCTGTTGTGATTCACAGGGTTTTCACTGGCTAATTTTCAGAAGTATTTCATCAGACTGGTAGATCACCTCACTCCAAGCAGGAAGAAAATCTCCTCTGGGCATTAAGGGATTGCTTCTAGTCTGTCTTAGTCTGGAAGTGCCTCTAAAACCTGTCCACCACCTGTTGGTATTTGAAATATCTGTGCCAGAGCTTCCAGCATCATAGCAAAACACAAGCCGTTAGAGTATGACAAACTGACAGACAGATGGTGTAATTATTATCATAGCCAGCATTTATTGAGCACTTACTACATCACAGACAGTGGTCTAAGCCTGGAGGCAATAATGCATTTCATCTCCAAGCTAGTTATGCTCTGTTCGTCTCCTTCCCACCCTCTGCCCTGCTCTGTTTCCAAAGAGACTGACCCCTCCTTGCTACTCCCTTACTCTCTGTCTTCCAGTTGGGCTGGCCAATGGAAGACACAGGCAGTAGATCAGAGGAAAGGAGAGAGAGAGGCGAGGTATTTCTTGCCCCCTCCAGCACTGTCTCTGACAGTGGTTACATCCCTCTGTGATTACAGCTTCTTCTGTGATCCCTTTTCCACAGTTCCGGCAACTCTAGAATCTGGTCACTCCACATCAGTTCTACAGAGGTGACCAACTCATCTTGATTTTTCTAGGACTGCCAGGTTTTAGCCCTGAAAGTCCCGGGTTCTGGAAAATCCTTCCAAAAACCAAAACAAAACCCATTGCCATCAAGTCAATTTGACTCATAGTGAGCATATAGGACAGTGTAGAACTGCCCCACAGGATTTCCAGAAAGTGGCTTGTGGATTCAAACTGCCATCTTTTTGGTTGGGAACTGAACTTTCAATCACTGAGCCACCAGGGTTCTAAGCAAAACCCCTCAATCCCAGGCAAACCATGACAACTGGTCACCCTTGCTCTAGAGATGATACTAGCTTCCCACGGTTGCTAGTCTCTGGCCTCCCCATTCTTTGTTCCCTTAGCCCTGCCCACACCTCTGCAAGCAACCTCTTCACTAAAGTCAGTGGCATTGAACTATCTTGGGTGAATTTGGAGTGAATTCCTTCTGAGATCCTTAATAGCACAATTCCCATACAACCCTATGAGGTAGGTATTATTATTAAATCCTTCTTACAGATGAGGAAATTGAAGCATGGAGAAGTTAAGTAACTTGGTCAAAGTCACACCACTAGTAAATAGCAGAGTTGGGATTCAAGCCCAGGAATCTGGCTCCAGGACCATGTTCTTACTCACTGCACTGCCTCTCCCACACAAGGCTAAGAAGCCTCCTTCTGGGATAATTTTGATGGACAGATTCATGGATCTGAGGAAGGGGCTGATTCCCCCTAAAGCAGGGAGATAAATAGCAGCCCAGGCTCTGGAGTGCCGAGTTGAGCCAGGTCACCCCTAGGTCTGGGAAGTGAGAAGGAGCAGGAACAACACTGCAGAGGCTGATGAGGCTGCTGGGGGTGGTGTAAAAGGTGCTCCTCCAAGCCCCTCGGAGCACCTTGTCCCAGACACCCACATCCCTGGCTTCCTGCAAAGCTTCCTAAAGGAGCAGAAAGGAGAAGAAATTTCCATCCTTATGTTCAGACAGGCCCAGGCATGGGATGGGAGCCAAGAGGTAGGAAGGTTAGGGGGGGTAGTTTCAGTCCCAAATCCCCATCAGAGCCTCCAGGCACAATCTGAGCTGCAGGTCCCTGTCCTGGGTGCAGGAGAAGAACCTGCCCAGGAGTTCAGGTTAATAGAGAATCTGGGTCTTACACTAGAACCCAGACAGATGTAGAACACAGGACAGCAACAGGTACAGCCAGACTGTGCCAGGGACAGGAAGAGACTGGTGGGTGCAAAGATGTGGAATTGAGGAAGGTTTCCAGGAGGAGGAAAAGTTGGTCCAGAATTTGGAAGAAAGAGGGGCAGGGATGAAACGGGATGTCCCAGGTCAGGAGTAGAGCCTAGTACAGTTAATTAACCAGGGAAGGAGTTATGAGAGTTGCTAACATCAGTGGAGATGCAGGGAAATGGAGGGCATCCCAGAGAACATACTGGAAGGCTTGAAGGAATGCTTTGATAAATTAATTGGGATGAGAAGTGAGACACCTATAAAGCATACTTGGACAACCACCAATATTTTACAAATTGCTTTCTGAGGAGAGTGGGCTGGGGAGGTGCACAGTTTTTGTTTTGCTGCGTGAGAGGTATGCAACCCCAGGGGGAGAGCTGAATTGCTGAAAGAAGTTGTAGAGAAACTGCACATTGTCACAGGAACCCTTCGTCTCTGCCCTTCAGCCTCTCCTCTAAATGTACTTTGAAAACATATTTAAGACTATTGCTTAGAATCAGTGCTAAATTATTAATCTGCATGAGGTACTCCTGTCCAGGAGAAGGGCCAGGCTAAGGCTCAGAAATGAAAGGTGGGAGTGAGGTAACAAGAACCTGGGTAGAGCCTGAGCCAGGGCATTGAACAGTTCAACAGCTGCTGTTGAACCAATTTCGACTCATGGCTACCCCATGTATGTTAGAGTAGAACTGTGCTCCATAGGGTTTTCAATGGATGATTTTTTGAAGTAGGTCACCAGGACTTTCTTCCAAGGTGCCTCTCTGACTGGAATCAAACCTCTAACCTTTCAGTTAGTGGCTAAGCACCTTAACCGTTTGCACCACCCAAGGACTCCTTCCCCAGGGTGTCTGAATTAGTCACAGGACGCCTCTGGCCCTGGAGGCCGTGGGCTCGGAGAAGGAAGATCTGGCTCTCATGGGTGGGAGAGATTATGCCATAAGGGGTGGGAGACACACTGTAATCATTAGGAGGGGAGGGCCTTCCAGAGAAACCCGAGTCCTAGCACAGCGCCTCATGTATGTTTGTATTCAATACAATTTGTGGGAAATACTGAGGGTGAGAGGGGAGGAGGGAGTGGGGAGAGAGAAAGAAACACTTCCCCTGGGGAGAATGAGGTGCTGCTTCATGTCAGAGAAAAGCTAGAGAAATGGAGGACCAGAGAGAGGAATGAAGAGGACAAGACCTCTTGGTTCCAAGCTCCAGATTCTGATCAGTGGGCCTGAGACCTCCCACCTCTCTGCTACAGGACAGTATTTGGCATATTGCTTAGAATTGGTGCTAAATTATTAACCTGCATGAGCCATCTCAAGTCCAGGAGAAAAGCAGGCTAAGGCTCAGAGACGAGAGGTGGCAGTGGGGTAACAACAATCAGGCTTGCTGGTGCAGACAGAGCAATGTTAAAATTCCTCCCAGCGCAGCTGGTTGCCCCTAGTGACTCATGGTGCCAGGAAATCTATCAGAGTCCCCTTAGCAAGGAGAATGCTGTGTGGAGATTCCACCCTCCTCCCCTACTGGCCACGCCCACTCAGAAGTTTGTCCAACTCAGCCTGGAGGCTGGGGGAAGAGGAGAAGATGAGGCTGGCTGGCTGACTGAGGAGGGCTGGCCACTGTGCACCTTGACGTGGGGTGGACGGCAGACAAGCGAGATGGGCAAGCATTCAGAGCAGCAGACAGAGAGCTCTGAAGAGGAAGCAGTGTGATTTTATTGATTTTGCAGAATCCTATTGGGCTGACTCAGGCTGTGGACAGTGGAGACAGAGCTGGCCAGGCAGAGCCCAGTGACGGAGGTAATGGAGCAGGCTTGACTGGTTCAGAAAGGAGGTGGGAGCAAGTGGCTGCCAGCTCACTCAGTATGTGATGGATGTCTTCAAAGTTGATTCGACCGTCTTCTTCAGGATGGTGCGGCAGCTGGAGCCAGAGCCAGTGCCAGAGCCAGACACAGAGCAGGAGACCAACTCAGGGCCCTGCCCAGATCCCAGAATGACTTTGGAGCCGCCAGTGACGACGCTGGAGCAACTGGACTCAAAACTACCTTTCCCGCCTCCAAGTCCGCAAATGCCCACCAGGTCTCCACCAACTTCTCCAGGCACCATAGTGCTGTCTCCTACTGCAGCTGCAAGAAATGCACCAGGGTCACAGCAGGGTCCTCATCTCCCCACGGGGACCCCTCTCCCTAAGTCCACTGATACTCACGGATGGTGACCTGGCTGGTGCACTCCCCAGACATCCTGGACAAGAAAGGGCAAGAGGAGGAAACGCTAAGAAAGGGTGCAGAAAATGCATCCGCCAGGTGCTTGTAAGCCTCAGAGCAGCCACCCTGTCCTCTCAGCTGGTAAAGTCTACATCCCCAAGGTAAAATCCCTCCCCACAGAGCTGGCTGCCCTTAGTGACTCACAGTGTCAGGAAAGCTATCAGAACCCCCTTGGGCAAGGAGAGCACTGTGTGGGGACTCAATCCTCCTCCCCCACCTTTCCAGGCTCACCGTCCCATATCCCCCCTCCCACCAACCTGCCCCCACCTGCACTCCTCGCACTCCAGCAGCCTCCGGTAGGTGGCGATCTCCACATCCAGGGCCAGCTTTGTGCTCATCAGCTCCTGGTAGTCCCGCAGAAGGCGGGCCAGGTCCTGCTTGGCCCTTCTCAGAGCAGCCTCCAGTTCCTCCAGCTTGGCCTGAGCATCCTTGAGGGCCAGCTCCCCGCGCTGCTCCACATCAGTGATGGCTGACTGCAGGTTGGCATTCTGGGCAGGGAGTGAGGGTGGAAATGAGGGAGGAAGTGGCTATGGACCCAACACTGCCTCCCACAGCACTCGTTGTGGATATAATGTGAGGGCTGGGGTAGACCATAAACTCATGGGCTCAGAACTACCCATGGCCACCCCACGGTGCCTCTCATTCTGCTTCCTCACCTCCCTTGCCACCTCCTGAGGTCATCTCCCCTACTTCTTCCCATCCTCAACCCTCAGCACTGCACCTGAATCTCTCCCAAGGTACTTAAACCTCTTCCTGTCCTATATAGATAATTGTCTACAGGGCTCAAGGGGTCCTTGATATTTTTAGGACAAGCCACATTTCAAATACTTTGTCCTGTTATCAAATCATATCAAATCATGTGCCTCAGTTTCTGGTATAAAAAATACCATCTCTGTACCTACTCCTCCAATCTGATGGAAAACTCCTAGAGAAAAGGCAACATCCCTGTCTAGTCAGACATAGAGTTGTATGACAATCTTCTAATGCCTTCACACTTAACCCAGGAAAGAAGGCATTCCCTAGAGGCACTCATTCATTGTTTTATTCCCATACAAACACCTGTGGATGAGGACTATCATGAGCATTTTACAGACGAAGAGACTGAGGCTCAGAAAGGTGGTGAGTGGCAGAACTGGGACCCCAAGCACACACAACTGACGTTCAGTCCACTGCTCTTACCACAGCTCACAGCCCGGCACAGGGAAGCCAAGTTTATGTCTGTGCATGAATAGGAAAAGTAAGGGGGCAGCTATATCCCCCAGAGGGACTCGGACAGGAAAGCCCCACTGCTATGTGTGTAGAGCTGTGATTCCCAGACGTGGGTACATTGTACCACTTAACCAGTTACAGCTGAGTTGATTCTGGTGACCCCGTGTGTTTCAGAATGGAGCTAGCTCCATAGGGTTTTCAAGGCTGTGACCTTTCAGAAGTGGATCACCAGACCTGTCTCCCAAGGTGCGTCTGGGTGGGTTCAAACCACCAACCTTTCAGTAAGTAGTCAAGCGCTTAAACATTTGTGCTCCCCAGGGACTTCTTCCCCAACAAGGGACCAAGAAATTCAGTGTTTGGCTTTAAAGTCCCTGCTGAGCTTGAGGAGTAGGAATCAAAAGAAGAGATAAGAAAAGAGATGGCCCTGAAGTCATCTTAAAACCTAATAGTTCAAGTTAAACCAATACAAAAGTCCGCCTTGAGCATTGTGCTCTTCTAAGAATTATCTATATGGGATCAAACTGACAACAGCAACTTGTAAGGATTAGATAGGAACCTTAGGGGGCAGTGAGTTTATGTTAATGAGGGAGGGACAACTCAGAAAAGGCAGGTGAGAATGATCGCACAACTGGAAGAATGTAATCAAGGTCACTGAACTGTACATGTAGAAACGGTGGAATTGATGTACATTTTGCTGTGTATATTCTCAACAACAAAATTAATGAAATTTAGAGGAAAAATTCTTTTAAAAAGATGAGTTAACACTTTCCCCAAGAGACCAAAATCAAGGTATACACTTGGACATGGATTACAATGTGGATGGTGCCCCCTGGGGTTGTGGCATCATCTCAAAAAAGCCAAAATGCAGGCTAGATTATGGGAGGAAGGCTGAATTTATCCAAAATGTGACTTGAGGATCTCTCCACCCCAAATTATCCAAACCTCCAGCCAACAATTACATTTTTCAACCCAAAACCAGTGGCAATTGGAGAGAGAGAAACTAGGAATTGGAGAAGGAGTTGAAGGACTAAGGAGAGGGGGGTCAGGAGGGCTCAGGGAGCCTTACTTGCTTCTTGAGGTTCTCAATCTGACTCTGCAGCTTCTGAATCGCTTGGTGCAGCTGGGAGATTTGGGCTTTGGTTTCCCTCATGCTGTCTCCATGAAGCTGGACAGATTCCTGAAGCTTGTGGTACTGAGAGGGGAGCAGAGGCAACCCCGGTAGTTGAGAGGACCCCCACCTTTGACCCCAAGACTGTGGAAGAAACTATGTTCTCAGGTCTTTTCCTCCTTACATCCTCATTTGGAATATGGGTTAAATACCTGAGATCAGGAAATAATGGGATGTGCTTGAAGAGTTCTAAACTCTTCTCCTGTGTGGCCTCCCACCTGGAGTGGTAGGAAATGGTCACCCCACACAGCCCGGGACCTTCAGGGAGATCATTGGAACTGCCCCAGTGGGACTGAGATGGGTGTCCACCTGGGGCAAGGGCATGGAGAACCAGCCTGCTCCAGCATAGTGCTGCCCCCCAGGCCCCACACCTTGGTCTGGTACAGCGCCTCAGCCTCGGCCTTGCTGGTCCGAGCAATCTCCTCGTAGCGGTCGCGGACCTCAGCGATGATGTTGCTAAAGTCCAGGCAGCGGTTGTTGTCCATGGACAGTACCACAAATGTGTTGTTGACCTGGATCTGGAGCTGGCTCAGCTCCTACAGGGAAGATTGAATCAGTGTCCACCACCTCCTGGGGGCCCCAGGGAGGTGGTCAGGATGCCTGGGCTTTCTGCCTGAACACTGTCAGGGGGGCAGCCCTCATTCACCCCAGGTGGCATTGAGCATCACCTGCCCTCTGTGGGGTTCAGTGTTCTCATCTGAAAAGGTGGGTTGTAGGAGGTGGTCTCTAAATACTCTTGCAGCTTCAATATCAAAGGCAAATAGCTGTCAAGGCCTTCTGTCACCTGGTCCCTACTGCTTCTCTGCCCTCATATCACACTCCTCTCCCCTATCCCCTACTCCTACTTCGCCAACCACAATGGCCTCCTGCCATTTCCTCAAAGACACTAGTCATACTCCTAACTCTAGTCTTGCACTAGCTGTTCCCTCTGCCTGGAATCCCTAGATACCTACCAGTATTGCTGGCTTCCTCACCCCCTTCAAATCTTTGCTCAAATTTTGCCTTCTAAAGAAGGCCTAAACTGATCACCTTTTTTTAAATTGCTGCCTGCCCTGCACCCCCTCCCTATATTCCCAATTCTTCTTTCCCTGTTCTAATTTTTCTTTTTTCCATAGCCTTTATCACCTTCTAGTGCACTCTAGAATTTACTTATTTATTAAATCTATTGTTTATTGTCTGTCTTCAAATAGAAAGTGAGCTTCATGATTTCTGTCTGGTTACTCACTGATGTCTCCTCAGTACCTAGCAATCCACATGGTAACCAACCAGCTGTTATCTGGTTGATCTGGACTCATAGTGACCCATACATCTGTATAGTGTGTCAGAGTAGAACTGTGCTCCATAGGGTTTTCAATTGCTGATGTTTTGGAAATAGATCTCCATGCCTTTCTTCTCAGGCACCTCTGGGTGAACTCAAACCTTCAACCTTTCCTTTAGCAGCCAAGCACGTTAACTGTTTGCACCACTTAGGGATTCACGTAGTAAGCACTCAAACTGTTTGCCGAATGACCAGCAGGGATCTAAGTCACCATAACAGGGCTTAATCTCCTGGCTAGTTTCCCACCTTGCCACCGGGAACTCACCCTGCCCTCTCCCCTTGTTCCTCCCCGCCCTTGCAGATCCTCACTTCTTCATACAGACGCCTCAAGAAGCAGATGTACTCTCTCAGAGCCTCCAGCTTGCCTTCCAACTCCATCTTGCTCAGGAAGACCTCGTCCACATCCTGGAGACAGTGAGACAGACACCGTGTACCTCCCACTTCCTCTTTGCATTCCCCACTCTCTGGCTTGGGAATTCTGTTCACCCACTGCCCCCACACCCACTCACCGACTTGGATACCTACTCCTTTCTCCTCAACCCAGCCCTGCCTTGCTCTCCCTTCCCTGACACTGCCCCACTCCAGACTTCAGGAAGCCTTCCTTGCTAAAGCCCAGCCTGTTCTACCTCCACTCCCTCCCCCCCTCCCAAAGTGACACCCAAACTCATCACTCTGCCCCTCAACTGAGTCTTGTCTTTTGATCTCAGTGTCTGGTAGATGTCCATTTCCCTGCGGGTTCCCTGTAGACTCCCTCCTTCAAGATCCCCCAGTCCCTGCCCCACTGACTGGACGTTGTGCACAGTGGGTGCTCAGGACAGAGGGGAGCAGTTGACCCCCACTCACACCTTTTTGAGGATCACAAAGTCATTCTCAACCGTGGCACGTGTGTGGGCCTCTTGCTCATACCTGCCAGATAAGCAGAGGAGGGCCCAGCCTGAGGTGCTGAGCTCAGAGTCCATGCCCCTGCCTCCAAGCATGACCTCCCAGAAGAAGCCACCCTTTCCTTCAGATGCTCCACAGGACATACCACCAGCCCCCTTCTCCACCTTTCCTAGGAGGCAGCTCTTGTCATGTCCTAGTTACATCCCTCTGCCACTCTTTCAGCCCTCATTTCCCTTAATGACAATAAGACCTCGTTATGTTTTTAAGGCACATTCAAATACCTTTTTTCACTTGCTGCTCACAACCACCATCCTAAGTAAGCAGTTTGGGTTTTATCAGAACGGTTTATATGACTTGCCCAAGATCCCATAGATGATTAGGGGGCCAAAGCAGACCTAAAATCCAGGTCTTCTACTTCCTAGCTTGGGCCCCTTCCAGGGCCCACCCCAACTCACAGCCCATCCTCCCAACAGTCCTGGAAGGTAACAAGATCAGGTGACATTTTCCCAGTTTATAGATATGGAAACTGAGGCTGGGAGAGGTTAAACAGCTACTCTTCCCTCATAATTGCCCAAACCCAATCTCCTTATTAGTCCAGGACACTCTGCACACAACCAGATGACCTAGATGAGGAGCTCAGAACCACAACCCAGCTGTGAATCATGCTGTTGGCCTGGGGATGGTCCCACTAAATTGATTCCCTTCCACTCCTGAGACCAGAGAACATCTGAGTCACATTGGCTCACAGCCTGTTGAACAGGAATTTTTCTAGAAAAAAACAATCAAGGCATTCCTGAAATAAGCCCTTTCCAGCCCTGACCAGAAACAGGGGCCCTCAGAGCGGGGGCCTGTTGGAACCAGGAGACAGTCCAATGGAGACAGTCTCCCTGACCCTTCTCCAAGGCTCCCCAGATCTGGACAGGGTGTTGCAGGGCCTCGTTTACCTGCAGCAGGTGGGGCGTCCTGGGAGTCAGAGGGAATGAGGATGCGAGAGGGGGCTTGAGGGACTGCCATCCCTGCATCTCTGGAGGCTCAGCATGGGGGAGAACCTCTGGCTGACAGACCCAATCTGAGTCCTCCCAGATGCCTCCCAGGCCCCATGGCAAAGTGCTGGGGAAGTGGCTTTGCCTACTTGGCCTTATACTCCTCCTCCTGGTGCTGGCAGGTCTTCAGCTCAGCATCCAGAGCCCCTCGTTCTCTCTGGAGCAACTCCAGGTGCTTCCTGAGACGGTCCAGGTAGTCCTCAAAGAAAGGCTCCAGGCCCTGGGGTCTGCCACTCATCCCCTGCTGCTGGAGCAAGTGCCACTTGGTCTCCAGCACCTTGTTCTGCTGTTCCAGGAACCGTACCTGCAGCCCAAGCAGAGGGTCCCTGAGGCTCCCATGGGACTTTCTGAGCAGAGCCTCTGGAAAGTAAAGCCTTAGGGACCCTCCAGTCAGCCTCCCTTTTCCGTACCTCTCAACCCAGCCTTGGCAGGGGGGCCTCATGCCTTCCATGAGACCTGAGCACATCTAAGAGATTGGATGAAATAATGCTGGCCAGCCTGAGCCCCAAGCATGGAACAACAGAGCCTTGGTATAACCAAAGAGACTCTGGTTAGACCACAGGGAGGACTTCCTTGCTGCAGAAGTGTTTAGAAAAGTGGTAGAAGGAGGCCAGACTTCTCCCATTCCCACGTCCATCAAGAGCACCTTCTCTGAGGGAAGCACAGAAACAGGGGCTTGGCTGAGTTGACCCTCACCTTGTCAATGAAGGAAGCAAACTGGTTGTTGAGGGTTCTGATCTCTTGGGTCTCCTGCGTCCGTACGATCTGGAACTGGGGGTCAATCTCAATCTTCAGTGGGGTCAGTAGATCCTGGTTGATGGTCACTTCTTGGATGCCCCCTGGAGGACACAAGGAAAGCCCAGGCCCACCCCTCCTCTCCCCAAACCACATCCTCAGCCTTTCTCCTGACCCCCAGGTCCTCCCACGAGAGGCCCCTCGGCGTCCTCGAAAAGAACTAAGGCTCTTGCTACTAAAGCTGCCCCTGCCCCGGCTCCCTGAGCGAGCAGAACAGGCTGAGTGAGCACTGAAGCCCCTCTGGACCCGGCACGGGGAGAGAGACATGGCAGGGACTGATGGTCACGAAGCTGTAGACAGACAGATTGCCAAGGTATGTGAGTTCCTGCCCTGGGGACTCAGCACAAGACTTTTATCGCCTCCGTTGCCTGGGCTGGGTCTTGGAGAGCAAGATGCTCTCGGCCTGACTGTGTCTGACACTCGGCTTCAGCTGACCTATCCTGACTCACACCTCTGCCCTCGGAGGCCTCCCAACCACGTGCAGAGTGCAAGGGAGAAGGAGACTCAGACCCTATCCCTGGAGCAGGCCCCGAGCAAAGCCACCAAGGATCATTCGAGGAAGGCTTCCTGGAAGAAGAGTTTGGGAAGGAGATGAGTCATGTTTGAAGGGAGAAGAAGATGGAGGGACTCAGATGGAGCATCAGTAGCCCCTGGAGATGCTGGACAGAGAAGAATGAAGCTTCTCAAAGAAAAATCTGCCTTCAAGAGTTGGAGAAGGAAGGCACTTTGCAGCTCTACAAAGCCAGGTCAAGAGAGCTGCTATTGTCATCACTGGCTAAAAGACACTCCAGGATTTGGAAATGAAACAGAAAAACAGGGTGTCGAAGTCCCTCCTCTAGCCCAACCCAGCAATCATCCATAAGGCACCACCCTAATCACACCAAGCTCTCCCTCCAGGATGGCCTAGAATAGAGTGTCTCTGAGCCCAGGCTGTCACTGTTCCTTCCACAGACACCCAGACACCAGGCCCATCCACCTAGGGTTAAGTGTTGCATTTACTCGCAGACAAACCAGAGGGACCCAGGCTCAGAAATAAAATGTTCATTTAGAAAAATACTCTGTTGGGGGATTAGGAGCAGGAACAGGAAATGTGAGGTTCCACCCGGGACAGCTTCAGGACTACTTTAACCTGAGAGTCTGATAAGCAGAGGGGCACGCTTGGATGCACCTAGTGTTTAGTACAACCTCCCACCATGCCAAGTCCTGGGAGGAAGCCAACGAGTAGCCTTTAGTTCAGCTCCCGCACTACCTCAAGCAGGGTTGGGCAGCTCTGATATTTAGAAATTTCTAAAATTTCTTCTTTCCTTGGCAAAAAATCCAAAGCCGTTACAGTCGAGTCGATTTCGACTCATAGCGACTCTGGTGTTGTTGTTGTTAGGTGCCATCAAGTCGGTTCCCACCCTATGTACAACAGAACGAACCACTGCCCGGTCTTGCACCATCCTCACGATCATTGTTATGCTTAAGCTCATTGATGCAGCCACTGTGTCAATCCATCTTGTTGACCCTATAGGGCTATTTCGCCCAGCCTCACGCTTTTGTCGAGACTGGTGCACCCTGAAGCTAGGATGCTAGAGGAAGGGGGCCTTTGATAATGTACCTCTAAGCGAGGCCAGAGACTAGCATAATAAACACTCAACAGATATGCTATGAGGAAGTTAGTCTCAGCAACGTGAACAATCTGGTAGATACTCCACCCCGAGGCCAGACAACGGCAAACATGTCTCCCCTCCCTCCAGAGGATTAGAAGTCCCTTCCTCCTTCCCCTAACCCCATCTGTCAGCAAACCTGAATGAAACTGAACCACAGATGACCTCAAGGAGAAGAGGCGGGGCCTTTGGTAGGGAGAACAAAAGGGTTTAAGGGACTGAGGGGCCAGACGAGGAAAGAAGAGAGAAAAGAGCCAAGGAGGCGAATCAGGGGCACCCAGGAAGGGGAGGCAGCATGGAGCAGCCCCAGAGTCTACAATAAGGAGCTGGGAAACAGGTTGAATATCATAGAGGACCCACCTCCAAACCTGATCCTCTATGGACTCTACGGACCACTTTATAGAAGCAAAGTTTTTGGTTTTTGGTTTTTGTTTTTGTTCTTTTTTATTGTGCTTTAGATGAAGGTTTACAGAGAAAAATTAGTTTCTCATTAAACGATTAATACACATATTGTTTTGTGACATTGGTTGCCAACCCCATGACATGTCAACACTCTCCCTTTCTCGACCGTGGGTTCCCCGTTACCAACTTTCCTGTCCCCTCCTGCCTTCTAGTCCTTGCCCCTGAGCTGGTGTGCCCCTTTAGTCTCCTTTGGTTTTATGGGCCTGTTTAATCTTCGGAGGAAGGGTGAACCTGGGGAGTGACTTCGGTACTGAGTTAAAAGGGAGTCCGGGGGCCACACTCTCAGGGTTTCTCCAGCCTTTGTCAGACCAGTAAGTCTGGTATTTTTTTGTGAGTTAGAATTTTGTTCTATATTTTTCTCCAGCTCTGTCCAGGACCCTCTATTGTGATCCCTATCGGAGCAGTTGGTGTTGGTAGCCGAGCACCATCTAATTGTGCTGGAATCAATCTGGTGGAGGCTGTGGTACTTGTGGTCCATTAGTCCTTTGGACTAATACTTCCCTTCTGTCTTTGGTTTTCTTCATCCTCCCTTGCTCCAGATGGGATGGGATCAGTGGAGTATCTTAGATGGCCGCTCCAGAAGTAAGGTCTTGTGCAATCTTTCTGGGCTCCATGAATGTGCTTGAGAAAGATTTCTGTGGCCTGAACTCTACTGTCCCTCCCTTCTAGTATTAAGGGTGGAGGAGAGAGGTCACACTTGTGATGGGGCCAAATCCACCTCCATGGAACTTCCCCATATTTGTAATTCTATAATATTAAAATATTAGAGTTGGAAGGAAGCTTCAAGTTCATCTGGTCCAACGCCCTTGTTTTACTCTTCAGGACTCTGAGGCCCCATAGGGTGTGGGGCAGGGTGTAGAGACTGTGCACCCTTGGGTAACCTGAGAGATTGCACCAGATGACCTCTAACTCTACTTTGGCCCATCTCTCTGTGATCTACCTGCTTTGCCCAAGGTCATATACATACCTAATCAGGACTGGAAACAGGACCCTCACCCAGCTCAGACCACCGCCCCATGGAGCAGCCCAAAGTGAACCTACTCCTTCTTCCACATGCTCACCCTTCAAACTTTCCAAGATAACCACACTCAACAGTTGATCATAACGCTATGAAGTCTGTCTTGTCCACCACTCTAACCAGCTCAGGGTCTGGCACACACTAGGCATCAATAAGTATTTGTTTTAAGAGATGAATTTTTATCCATGACATTTAGACCCAGGGAACTTCTTAAATTCCCAGATTCATAAATGCTGTTGTAACATATTAAAAAAAAGTTGCTATCCAGTTGACTCCAACTCATGGCAATCCCATGTGTATCAGAGTAAAACTATGTTCCATGGCTAATTTTTCAGAAGATCACCAGGTCTTTCTTCCAAGGTGCCTCTGGGTGGACTCAAACCTCCAACTCTTTGGTTTACAGCCAAGCATTTTCCTCTACTAAAATAAATATATATATGCACTAGTGATGGAGAGAATGGCAAAATAGTTTGGAAATTTCAATGCTCGGCCCCTTACTGCTGGGTAATTTCTTCTTCCCCACAAAGTACGTGAAGGGATCCCAACTCATGCAGTAGCAAAAGTACAAATGACTCTATCATGGACTTAACATTAAACCCAGGAATGCTAAGGATCTGATAGGTTATAGCTCTCCTCAGTCTCCTCTTCTCCAGGTGAGCCATCCTCAACCATGCCTCAAATTTACAGTCTCTCCCCACCCATTTCCCCACCTCTGGGAAAGCCCCTGGTCACCACAGCTTGTTGTAGCTCTCCAGCAGCCCCCCTTCTCTCACTGTGCCACCCCAAATTCACCCTTGGCCACAACTACAACTCCCCAGCCTCTTTCTCTCTAATTGCGCTCAAGCCTGTCCTTGGCTTATGCAATTGATTTGTTGCCCTAAATACCATTTATTCACGTGTATTTATTTATTCAAAAAAATATAGGTGGGCACCTACAACGTGCCAGGTCCCAAGCTGAAAGTTAGGAATTCAGCAGAGACTAAGGCCAGCTCCTGCACCAAGAGAGTTTAGAGTGCAGCAAGGAAACAGACATTAAACTAGTAATTAGACAAGTATTTAATTGCAATTATGATAAAGAGAAAAGTATAGGGCATGAAAAAGACCTAACCTAGTTTATATTCTGTTTTATCCTTGAATATGCCAGAAATACTCCCACCTCAGGACTTTTGCACTTGTTGTTCCCTCTTCCTGGAATTCTCTTCCCCAGATTTCCACAGAGTTTGTTCCCTCACATCCTACAGGCCTTTATTTAAAAGTCACCTTCCCTGGCCACCCTAAACCAAAATTACAACATTGAGGCCCCATCTCTACTCTGATACTTCTTATCCCCTTTCCCTGCTTTATTTCTTTCTACTTAGCACCTATCACTTCCTAACATACCATGTATTTTACTTATTTATTCTGTTTGTCAGTCTCCCTGCACTAGAATGTGAACTCCATGAGGGCAGGTATTTTGTCTGTTTTGCTTTCTTCTGTATCCCCTGCACTTAGCACAGTACCTGGTATACAGGAGGTGCTCAATAAATATTTGTTGAATAAATGAGTCCCCATTCAGTTTCGTCTCATTGATTTCCCCCCATCTTTCACCTATTAAGATCCTTGTGACTCTCCATCTTATTCTCGGAAGCATTAGTCACTCCCCCCAACCACCCATCCAAGCTTATGGGCATTGGTACATTTGAGGAACATGATTTTGTTATTGTGTGTGTGTGATTCCAAAGAAAGGTGATCTAACAGAATGCGGAAACTAACAAACAATCATTAATGTCACACGCAAGTAAAATTTTGCTGAAGGTAATTCAAAAACAATTGCAGCAGTACATCAACAGGGAATGGCCGGAAATTCAAGCCAAATTCAGAAGAGGATGTGGAACGAGGGATACCATTGCTGATGTCAGATCTTGGCTAAAAGCAGAGAAGACCAGAAAGATGTTTACCTGTGTTTTTTTGACTACACAAAGGCATTTGACTGTGTGGATCATAACAAATTATGGATAACATTGTGAAGAATAGGAGTTCCAGAACACTTAATTGTACTCGTCAAGAACCTGTACACAGACCAAGTCAGTCGTTTGAACAGAACGGGACACTGTGTGATTTAAAATCAGGAAAGCTGTGCATCAGGGTTGTATCCTTTCACCATACTTATTCAATCTGTATGCTGAGCAAATAATCTGAGGAGCTGGACTACATTAACA